GTGCTTCGACTTGACGAGGCTCGGCGGCATGGCCCGGTACGTCGCGAAGGCCTCCCGCGCCGTCGTGCCGCCCCGGAAGGTCCGCGGCACGTACGTGCGGAGCGCGGCCGCGCGCAGGAGCCGCGGGAGCGTGTCGTCGAGGCCCCCGGGCACGTCCGTGAGCGCCGACAGGCCCGCGGGCGTCGAGTCGTCGTCGATGGCGGCCCGCTCGTCGTCCTCGCCCGCCGCGACGCGCGCGCGCGACTCCCGGAGGTTCCGCGCGGCGACGCCGAGGCGGCCCATGAGGCTCTCGGGCTGCCGCGCGGGCTTCCAGGACGCGACGGCGGACTTCTTCGGCTCCAGGTGCCGCGCGCTCGTCGCGGAGCGCTCGAGGGCGGCCTGCAGCGCGCTCTCGCGCCGCTTCGGGGACGCGGAGAGGCTCGAGCCCTGGCGCTGGAGCGACGGCGACGACCCCTGGCGCTGGAGCGACGGCGTCGAGCCCTGGCGCTGGAGCGACGGCGACGACCCCTGGCGCTGGAGGGACGGCGACGACGGCTGGCGCTGGAGCGACGACCCCTGGCGCTGGAGCGACGGCGTCGACGTGACCGCGGTCGCCGACGACGACTGGTGTACACCCGGGCCGTGCGGCGCCGACGACTTGTCGCGCGGGTCCTCGTAGGCGCCCGCGATGAGCGCGCGGCGCCTGCGGCCCGCCTCCTTGGGCGCCGCGGCCGCGGCCGCCGAGGCCTCCATCTCCGGCGTGACTCCGTCGGCGCCGACGCCGTCGAGCAGGAGCCGGAGCCGCGGGCCGGGCACGAGGTCGACGTCGTTGTCGGGCTTGGGGAAGTAGGGCGACCGCGTCGCGTTGATGAACTTGGCCCAGGCCTCGGCGTGGTCCGCGTCGCGCGTCTTGAGCACCTTGTCCACGAAGGTCTTGGCCCAGGCGTCCTCGCGGTCCGCGTTCGCGCGCTCGTCGGCCTCGAAGCGCTTGTAGTCCGCGTCGACGGCCGCGACGAAGCTCCAGAGGTCGCCGCTCTTGAGGTAGCGGTGCGCGAGCCGCAGGAGCCGCTGGTTCACGTCGAGCTCCACGGTGCGGCGCAGCGCCGCGCGCCGCGCGAAGACGCTGCGCGCGAAGGCCGCGACGGTCGTCGCGGCCCAGGTCTCGCGCGCGCGCGACGCCGTCGTCGCCAGGTGCTTCGCGCGCGTCTGGGCCCGCGCGCGGCCCTTCCAGCCGCGGACGCGCGACTGCATCAGGAGGATGGCGTTCATGAGCGCCATGCGCGTGTTGTTCGCCCGGATCTCGAAGGCCACCGCGCGCGCGGCGACGGCGCGCGCGAGCGCCTGGATGCGCACGGCCGAGTCGTACCTCAACCACCACTTGCGGTTGCCCGCGCGGCCGCGGCCGTCGATGCCCCGCGCCACGGCCTGGATCGCGACGGTCGCCGCGACGCACCCGAGGAAGCCCTGGGTCTTGACCATCTGCATGCGCCGCGCCTTGAAGTCCACGTCCTTGCCGAAGCCGCGGCACAGGCGGCCGCGCGCGACGCGCTGGCCGTGGACCGCGGCGCGCTCCATGGTGAACCTGTGCCGAAACCAAATCTTCAACCCGACTTCAATGTGAGCGTATTCGAACGATTTAGACCAGACTCTTTCACTGTGCTTCGAGAACTCGACGAGAGCAATCGATCCGTCCAAAAATCAGCCGAATCGACTTCGATTTGACCGAGCTAGAGAATTCTGAAGTTTGGTCAGGACCACCCAAACCAGTGGTTGGTTTCGGCACAGTGGTGAACTGGGTGACGGCCGCGACCTCCGCGCGGAGCGTCGTCCTCAGCACGTAGGCCTCGCGGAGCTGCGCCCGGAGGAGCGGCTCGAGCATGTCGAGCTTCACGCGCGTGCCCGCGCCGTGGACCGCGGACGAGTTCATGTACTCGTCGTCGTGCGCGAGCTCGCGCTTCGTGCCGTCGGCGCCGACGACCGTCGCCTGGCCGGACCGCTCCGCGCGCAGGTCCTTGCGCGCCTTCGTCTCGCGGCGCTTCGCCTCGTTGAGCTCCTCCTTGAGGTTCTGGGGCCCGCCGAGCGACTTCCGGCGCTCCGCGGCGATCATCGTCGACTTCTTCCGCTCCAGCTTCACCTTCTTCTCCGCCCGGAGCTCCCACATGAGGTCCTCGGCGTACTCGCAGCGCTCGAGGAGCGGGATGAAGCGGCCGAGCTGGCCCCAGAGCTCGCGCTTCGCGTCCGCGAAGACCTCGATGGGCACGAGGCCCAGCCTGTGTGGAATTCAAATCTTCAACCCGACTTCAATGTGCGCATATGCGACAGTTTCGACGCAAGCTCTTCGGCTGTGCTTCGAGAACTCGACGAGAGCAATCGATTCGTCCAAAAATCAGCCGAATCGACTTCGATTTGATCGAGCTAGAGAATTCTGAAGTTCGGTCAGGACCACCCAAACCAGTGGTTGAATTCCACACAGGGCCCAGCCTCGCGAAGTCCTCCACGGCGTCGACCAGCTTCGCGCGGACCCGGTGCTTCAAGCGGGCCTCCGGGATGCGCGTCGCCGCGGCCCGCGCGGCCTCCGCGGGGATGCTCGACGTCTCCGGCGACGCGAAGCCCTCGTAGGCGACGGACTTGCGCCGGACCTTGTCGCGCGCCTCGGGGACGGGCGCGGCCGGCGGCGGCGCCTGGACGACGGGCGCGACGGAGACGCGCCGCTTGCTCGGCGACCGGGGCCGCTCGTCGTCGCTGCGGCCGTCGTCGCTGAAGTCGAGCGCGGGCGCCGCCGCGGGCGCCGCGGCCTCCGCTTTCGGCTTCGACGAGCCGAACATGCCCCCGAAGAAGCCCTTCTTCTTCTTGCGCGCGGCCTCCTCCGCCGCGAGGCGCTCGGCCTCGGCCCGCTCGGCGTCGAGGCGCCGCTTCTCCCGGCCCTTGGGCGTGCCGGGCGTCTTGGGCGTCGTCGGGCGGCCGTCCGCGGATTCCGGCGTGTGGACGTGGCGCTCGCGGACGCCGCGGCCGCTCCGCTCGCGCTGGAGCATGCGCTTGTGGGACGGCTCGTGGGGCGGGCCCGCGCCGCGGCCGAGCTCGCCGCGCGGCGGCGGGTTGTGGATGCTCAGGCGCGCGCGCTCGCCGCCGGCCGCGGGCCGCTCGAGCGCCGTCGCCTGTGTGCAAATCAACCAGTGAGCTGGGACGTCGGGGCCAAACTTCAGAATTCTCTAGCTCGGTCAAATTGAAGTCGATTCGGCTGATTTTTGGACGAATCGATTGCTCTCAGCAAGTTCTCGAAGCACAGCGGAAGTGCTCGTGTCAAAACATTCGAATACGCGCACATTGAAGTCGGGTTGAAGATTTGATTTGCACACAGGTCGTCGCGGAGCCCGCGGACGGGTCGAGCGACGTGTCGACCCGAAGCCCGCCCGGCGTCGTCACGACGCGCGGCGGCGCGCTGCCCTCGGGCGACTGGATCGTCACGGTTTTTTTCGTGCCCCCGGGCGTCGTCGCGCGGCTCGACGGCGGCCGCGACGGCGACGGCGACACGTCGAGCGCGAGGCCGTGCGCGGCGGGCGCGGGCGCCGGGCCGGCGACGGGCGACGTCGGCCGCGACGACGGCGTCGACGGCCGGGACCCGAACAGGCTCCCGATGAAGGACTGCTTCTGCGCGGCGGCGGGCTGCGCGCGCTGGAGCTCGAGCGCGGCCTCGACGTCGTTGAGCGCGTCCCAGAACTCGAGGAGCTCGGCCGCGGCCGCGCGGTCGTCGCGCGACGGGCCGGCATGCTCGTTGGCGCTCTCGGACGTCGTCGCCGTCGTGCCGGACTGGGCCGTGCCCGGCCGCGGCGAGCCCGGCGTCGACGGCCGGTCGTCGTCCGGGTGGCCGTCCTCGTCGAGCCTCGACCGCCAGATCTCCGGCGCGGCGACGGCCCGCGCGAGCTGGGACCGCGTCGGGCCGAGCCGGGGCGCGAGGTCGTGGGTCTCCTGGAGCTCCTCGTCGAGGTGGCGCGCGCCCGACGCGACGAGCGCGCGGCGGCCGCCGGGGCTCCCCGGCTTGCCGGCCTCGACGGCCTCGACGGCCTCGAAGTTGTGCGCGTCCAGCGACGCCGCGAGCTCCTCGAGGAGGCGCCGGATGGCGATGCGGCCCGCGAGCTTCTGCTCCACGGCGGCGACGGGGAGGAGCGTCTCCGCCGTGTGCTGGTCGCGGCCGCGCCACTTGTCGAGCTCGTCCATGAGGTCCAGCCGCCGCTTCGCGTTGCGCCCGCGCTTCTCGAGCAGCTCAAGCATCTCCGTCTTGAGCGCGTAGACCAGGTCCGCCGTCTGGTCGAGCTGCGCGAAGAGCTCCGCGCGCCGCTTCCGCGCGCCCCGGTCGAGGCGCCGCAGCCCCCGGAACCGCGGCCGCATGCGCTTGACCTCGTCGCCGAGGTGGAACTTGTCCTGGCGCGGCGACTTGGGCAGCTCGAGCTTGTACCAGTTCGGCGCCACGCAGCTGTGGTAGGCCATGGCGTCGCGCCGCTCGAAGAAGGCGCACGCGTCCGCGTCGCGCACGTTCACCCTGTCGACGCGGACGACCGCCGAGTAGGTCCCCGCGTTCGACGGCGGCAGCTGCATGGCGCCCTCGTCCGTCGTCGCCGCGTCGCCCTTCTCGTGGACGACGACGACCGTCGACGCCCGCCGCGCCGCCTGCTGGCGCCCGCCGGCCATGGACCGCCGCCGCTCCACGGCGGCCTTGCGCTGCTCGGCGACGTTGTCGCGGTTCAGGTTCCCGCCGACGCCGCCGCCGCCCGTGATCGTCGCGATGGACAGGCGCCGCCCGGGCGCCGCCGCCTGGCTCATGCGCCGCTGCATGGCGGGCTTTGTCCCGGGTGGGAGCTACGCCCTGCCCATGCCCTGCGGGCGCTGCCGCGTTTGATACGCTCCATGGTGAATGAGGTGTTGCACCGAGGCGCGCATGGGCTCATAGGGAGAGCAGCCGACCCATCGCCCAGTACGCGAGAGCAGCCGACCCATCGCCCAGTACGCACCCTGCCCGCCAGACCATGGAGCGCGTGGACATCGTCTTCCGCGCCCAGAAGCTCGGCATCGACATCACCTACGACGGCGGCCGCCAGGCGGTCGTCGTCGAGCATTTCGAAAAGGGCGGCGCGACGCTCGACAGCGCGACGCTCGTCGCCGTCAACGGCGACGCCGTGGGCCCCCTGGACCGCGACGCGTTCCTCGCCCTCGCCCAGCGGCTCCAGTCCGAGCCGCGGCCCATGACGCTCGGCTTCTCGCAGCCGCGGCGCGTCGACGTGACGCCCACGTTCGCCGTCGGCGACCGCGTCCGCGCGCGCTTCCGCCGGGGCCGCAAGTACTTCCCCGGCGTCGTGCGCGCCGTGCGCGGCGCCTACGACGTCGTCTACGACATCGCCTACGACGACGGCGACGAGGACAGGGACCTCGAGGCGGATTTCGTGAAGGCGCCCAAGGAGCCGGCGGCGCCGCCGGAGGACGCGCGGCCGCGGCTCACCGCCGCCCTCGACGCGCTCCGCACGAAGCTCGGCGAGCGCGCGGCGGCCGTCGACGACGCGGCGGTCCTCGCGTACGCCGCGGGCCTGGGCGACGACGACGCGGCGGCGCGCGCGGCGCGCGTCGCGGCGTTCCCCGCGGCGGCGTGCGCCGGCGCGGACGGCGCCTGGCTCCTGGCCCAGCTCTCGGGCCCCCAGACCGCGTCCTACGACGCCGCGGCGGGCAAGTGGACCGCCGTGCGCAAGTCCGCCGACGGCGTGTCCGAATGGCTCGGCCACTTCGGCGACGAGGCGGCGGCGCGCGCCGCGGCCGCGGGCGCCGCGCCGCCGCCGCCGGACGACGGCGACGACCGGTCGCCGTCGCCCTGCAAGCCGCGGCGGCCCGCGCCGACGGACGAGCCGGAGACGAAGAAGCCGTCGCCGCCGAAGCCGGAGAAGAAGCCGTCGCCGCCGAAGCGGAAGGCGAAGGACGAGCCGGAGACGAAGAAGCCGTCGCCGCCGAAGCGGAAGGCGAAGCGGGTCGAGTCGCGCGGCGTCAACGAGCAGAAGGGCCGCTACCGCGCGACGCTCCACCACAAGGGCCAGACCCACCGCCTCGGGTCCTTCGCCGACGAGCGCTCCGCCGCCAAGGCCTACGACCGCGCGTGCCGGAAGCACGGCTGCCCCGAGAAGTGCAACGAGGTCGACGTCTGCGACGTCTGCGGCGAACCGACCGTCGACGAGCGCGGCGACGCGCTGCCCGACGTCGTGCTCTGCGACGCCTGCGACTGCGAGACGAAGCTCGCCTGCGCGGGGCTCGACGCCATGCCCGAGGGCGCGTGGTACTGCCCGCACTGCGCGTCCGAGCGGGAGGCCGCCGGGGCCGCGGCCGCGCCCGCCGCCGCGCCGGTCGCCGCCGCGCCGGCGCCGCCGCCCGCCGAGGCCGAGGCGCCCGCGCCGGAGCCGCGCAGGGCCGACGCGCCGGAGAAGCGCAAGCGGCCGAAGACGCCCGAGGACCCGCTCGCGGCGCTCCTCGGCGGTCCCGCCGCGAAGAAGCGGCCGCGCGCGGCGCCCGCGGCCGCCGCGCCGGCCCCCGCGGCGTCGAAAGCGGCGAAGAAGGGCAAGAAGGGCGCGGAGGCCGCGCCGCCGGCGCAGCCGGCCTTCGACGAGACCGCGGGCTTCGCGCTCGGCCGGTCGCGCGGCGCGGGCGGCCGGCCGCTGAACCTCGGCAGCGTGCGGAGCGCCTGGGACGGCGCCGCGGCGCCGCCGCCCCGCGACCGGGACCGCGAGGCGCTCCTCGCGAACTTCGACGGCTGGCTCGAGCGCGAGCTCCACCCGGCCAAGGTCGGGCCCTACCGGGACGCGGTCCGCCGCTTCGCGCGCGGCGACACCTTCGACGGCCGCGGCGCGACCATCGCGCTGCGGAGCCTGGACCAGGCCCTCGTCGACGAGCTGCGCCTCTGCCGCGACGACGACGCGGGGTCCGCGAAGGCCCACGGCGCGCCCCACGTGCCCAGCGAGGCGCTCGAGTTCCTCTGCGCGTTCGTCGCGACGGCGAGCGGGTAACGTTTTCCCAAAGGTGTTTACGAGCGGCCTTAGTAGCCCCCCGGCGGCGCGAGGAACGCCGCCACGTGCCCGCAGACTTCCGCCGGGGCCTGGCGGCCGAACTTGCCCTCGACGCACTTGTCGACGAAGCCCGAGAGCACGCGACGGCGCGTCTTCACGAGCGCGTCGTAGCCGCCCGCCTTTTTGACTCTTTCGTGGTACTGCCATGTGCATTCGTTGTAGTCGTTGCGGGGGTCAAAATAAGATGGAGCCTCTTTCATGGCCGCGCCGTGTTGAAGTAGCAGACCGAGCATGCGGCGAGACGGGGCCTCCTTCTTATGACCATATCGACGCAGACACGCGGCATACGACGATGGCCCCAGATTGGGATTCGCTCCTGCGGAGAGCAGGATCTTGATGATCGCGTAATATCCTTCTCTAGCCGCGGCATAAAGAGGCGTACCAAACGGCAGGTCGCACCAATTCACGTCCGCGTTCGCATCGATGAGAATTCTAACGACATTTGTCCGCCCTTTCGCACATGCAATCCAAAGCGCAGTGGTGGTCTGAAGTTCAGCTTCTGGGATCGCATCTACGTGCGCGCCGGCAGCGAGGAGCGCGACGACCTCTGCTTCATTTCCATGTTTAGCTGCCACGTACAGGGGAAGCTCCTGCTCAGGATGCCATGGCTCAGTATGCACGCTTCCTGGCTCACTTTCGGGTTCGCTTTCTGGCTCGGACTCACCGGAGGAGAGAGCGGCGTTCACGTTCATCGAGATGGCGGGATCGGCGATCATTTGATCCACGGCCCAGAGTTGCCCTTCACCTTGCACGGTGAACAATCAAACGAGCACATGGGGCTGCCGCCGCATCTCTGAACGCACACAGCGCAACGATGCGGCCGGCGCTGCTCTGCGCGCTGGCCATGCTCTGCGGCTGCACCGGCGACTCGTCGGTCGTGGAGATCCTGCAGCGGCGCGAGGCCGCGGCCGCCGGCGCCTTCGGCGAGCCGCTGGCGGCCATCCCCATCGGCACGGAGGACGGCGGCGTCGCCGGCGACGTGAAGATCTACGAGGGCGAGGAGCCCGTCGACGCCATCGCCGCCTTCTGCGTCGAGGCGCAGCTCGAGCCCTGGTTCCGCAAGGCCATCACGGAGCGCGTCTGCGCGGGCGGCGACTTCGAGGCGCTGCCGCCGTGCGCGCGGAAGCGCGCGGTCTTCTTCGCGTCGGAGATCTCCGTGCCCGACGACCCGGAGGGGCGCACCTACCCGGGCAAGCTCGTGGTCATGGAGGACGAGGCGCCCGCGGCGTCCGTGGAGCTGTTCCTCGCCGCGGCGGAGAAGGAGATCACCAAGAACCGGACCAAGTGGGACAAGCAGCACGAGGCCTGGGAGAAGAACCGCACGAAGAACGCGGCCTTCGCCGCGGAGCACGCGGGCGTCGCGCGGAAGAAGGACGACCGGGACCGGGCCCTCCGAGAGATCGACGAGCTCGACTGGCTCCTCGACAACCACACGCTGAGCGAGCCCATGCGGCCGCCGGCGGGCTGGTTCCGCGCGGCGCTGCTCGAGCACGTCTGCGGGCTGCCGGGCCTCTCCTGCGAGGGCCGGCGCAAGCCCCTGCCCGAGCTGCCCATCACCGTCGACGGCTCCGGGAAGCCCCGCGGCGTCGTCCGGCCCTACGAGGGCGACGAGGGCGTCGACCTCGCCTACCTCTTCGGCAAGCAGCACGACCTGACGACGGACGTCTTCCGCGAGTCGCTCATGTCCTACCTCTGCACCGTCGAGGGCGTGTCCTGCACGCGGACGCGGGCCAGGGTCTTCTCGCGGTCGCCCGCGGACGTCTTCGGCGACCCGGACATGCGCTTCTGGATCAACTTCGAGATCTGGGAGGACGAGGAGCCCGTCGACGCCGCCTTCGACTACGCGCGGCGCTTCCAGCTCACGCTGGAGCAGCGCTACGCGCTGCTCCAGGCCGCGTGCGACGACGGCTACGTCGACTGCGCGCGCCCGGCGGCCGGGAGAGCACCGCGCGGCGTCCACCGCGCCGTCCCCCCGCGCAGGCGAGCGCGGCGACCCCATCGCCTTCAAGTTCGCCGTCACGGAGGGCGCCGAGAAGAAGGGCAGCATCGAGCTCCTCTCGTACCAGCGGCCCGCGGACGCCGTCTACGACTACTGCCGGAAGGAGAAGTACCTCCAGCCCAAGTACACGCGGCTCCACGTGCGCGCGAACCTCCACGCGTCCTTCTGCGCGGCCCTCGAGCTCGACCGCGGCTTCCTGACGGACGAGGAGCGCGCGAGCTGCGAGGACCGGCGTCGAAAGCCGAGAGTCGCGGTGGGTCCGCGCCGCTCCGTCGACGGTGGGTCCTCGCGATCCTTTCCTCGCGATCGTTTCCTCGCGATCCTTTCCTCGCGATCCTTTCCTCGCGATCGTTTCCTCGCGATCGCATGCCCGCGCAGGCGACGGCGGGCCGACGCTCGCGCGCGAGGAGCGGTTCAAGCAGGAGTTCACCGTCGGCGGCTTGACGTACAAGATGCCCTTCTACGACGACGAGTTCCCGCCCTGCGACGGCGTCCCGGGGCCCGACGGCCTCGAGGACGGCCTCTGGGGCGACGAAGTCTGCACGCCGCGGGAGACGCGCGCGGCCCTGGTCTTCTGCGAGCGCATCGTGCCCTTCCCCCCGGGCTGCGTCGAGTACCTCGCGCCGGCGATCGCCGCGAGCCTCCTGCGCGCGGAGCGGCGGCGGTTCATCATGACGTCGCGCGCGGCGTCGCGTCGCGGGTTCTTACTTTGGCCCGAAACGGTCGCCCGCAGGTCGCCCTTCGGCTACGACTACTACCTGAGCATGGGCGAGCTCCGCGACGCGGACAACGACACGATCGTCGCCGCGTAGCGCGCCGGGGTCCGGACGTTTCGGGGAGCGCGTCTCGCATCCTCCGTGACCCTCCAAAGTCTCTCGACCCTCCGGAGCCGGGCATCTCTCGACCCTCGCGAGAGCATCCTCCGCCGGAGCGCGCGCGCCCTCTCGACCCTCCAAAGCTTCCCGACCCCAAGGTACCTCCGGGGCGTCGAGCCGCTGCCGGCCGAGCTCGAGGAGCTCACGGCGAACCTCACGGCGCTGAACGCGTCGCTCGCGGCGCTCGAGGAGACGCACGAGCTCGCGCGGCGGTCGCTCGCGCGCGCGCGCGGCGCGCGCGAGGTCGCCATGGAGGCCATGGGCCACGCCGCGGGCCTGCTGGCGGAGCTCCGGGCGACGCTCGCCGGCGCGCTCGTGAAGAACGACCGGAACGTGACGCCCGCCCAGGCCATCGCCGAGGCCGCGGACCAGTTCCCGCCGTCGGCCGCCCGGCGTCCTGTCGTTCGTCCGAACTCCCTCGCGCGTCGACCCCGCGGCGCCCCCCTAGGCTCCCGCCGACGCTCGCGGGCGGGCTCGCGGCCGCGCGCGAGGCCGCGACGGACGTCGGCCGCGCGGACGCGCTGCTCCACGCGGCGCGGGACAACCTCAACGGCGCCAACGGCCAGCACGGCGACACGCAGCCCCGCGCGGACCACCTCGAGACCATGTCCCGCGTCTTCAAGGAGGGCCACGAGACGCTCACGGACAAGAAGCGGCGCGAGACGAACGACAAGCCCTGCCAGAAGATCTTCGGCGCCTGCTGCGCCAAGGAGACGGACAACGGCGGCAAGGACATCAAGTGCGGCGGGGACTTCGAGGACGCGTAAGGGTGGGTGTTGTGCAGTCCCGCGCCGAGTCGGGAAGACGAGCTTCAGTGGCCGCCGGCGCGCAGCGCGGCACGCCGCGCGTGTCTCGGACAAATGTATTGGAAGATATGGCCTGAGGCCTCGACTTGCGCCACGACAGCGTCCTCCCGCGCCACTCCGCTCGTCCGTAGAAACGCGCGATCCAGCGTCCAACAGCACCATCGACGCTCGGTGCCAGCCCTCCGCGACACCCGGACACAGCTGCGACGCGCGCGCAAGCCGGATCGCGCGAATTGTCGCCCGATCGGCTCAAATCGCCGGATCTCCCGCCGAGGCCACTCGTTTCGAGGCGAAACCCCAAACGCGCAGCCTCGAGAGCCGCATCGCAACCCTCCCGCCCCGCAGGCCTCGAACAGCAAGATGAAGGTCGCCGCCGTCGCCCTCGCCGTGCTCGCCGCGCCCGCCGCGGCGCTCATCCCGGCCGCGCAGACGTCGGCGGCGACGTCGACGAAGCTGTACGGCTACGTGCCGAGCGGCATGTCCAAGGAGGAGTGGGCCAAGATCCAGAAGAAGGAGAAGGACGCGAAGAAGGGCAAGAACTTCGGCGTCGGCGGCGCGCGCGGCTTCCAGTCTCGGTCGTTCAACTCGTTCGTCAGCGCGATGGAGAAGGGCGAGGCGGGCCACCTCTTCGCGGTGAACCCCGAGGACGTCCGCTCGGGCAAGGTCGCGCTCAAGGACGTGCCCTACATGCAGCGCGGCGGCTCCTGGGACAACTCGGACCTCGCGGGCAAGAAGGGCTGGATGAAGACGGGCTTCGGCATGACGGCGTTCAACGACGGCAAGGCCGACACGACGAACGTCAAGAAGTGGACCAAGGAGGACAAGATCTACAGCAACACCAAGCCCGACATCGGCATCTTCGGCACGGCCATCAACTGGAACGGCAAGGGCGGCGCCGACGACGGCGTCGCGGCCCGCGCGAAGAAGAACGGCGTCTCCGCGGACCAGCAGATGTGGCGCGACTCCGGCGCGCTCTCCAAGCAGGAGATCGCCAAGATGAACCGCAAGAGCGGCGCACCCAAGATCGGCGCGAACATCAACGCGCCGGAGAAGAAGTTCTTCGGCCTCTTCTAAGCCGGAGGCCCCGCCGCCGGGCCCCGGCGCCGCGCCGCCCGGCCACGCGCCGGGATGCGCCGCGGCGCGCGGGCCCCGAAACTCCGGGGCGCGCGCGGGCGCGCGCGTCGCCCCTCCTATGCTGTGAATAAGTAGAAAAATCCACCAGGGTCCCGCGCGACGTCCGACGGGCCGTTTTGAAAGTGTCCTGCGGCCAAGGGGTAGCCTCTCGAGGAGGCCTTCGGGGCCGGGGAATAGGGCCGCCAGGGGAACACAATACCCCCGCCGAAACTCGACTGCAGTATGCTGAGTCCGAAGGCTGCCACGCGGCGAGCCCGGCGAAACTCAACCTTAAAACTCAACATCCTCGAACAAAGATTTTTTCACGCTTCACCTTCGCCCCGAAACCGCGCAGTCGCAGAGCATGTAGGTTTGCGCAACATCGTCGCGCGCACCTCGGAGTGTCGACGACAATCGTCCCAAAAAGATGGGCAACTTCCCGCCGCCGGCGCAGCCCGTGGAGCGGCCGGCCTTCGGCCGCCAGTCGCTGCGGCTGCGGCGCCTCGCCGAGGACGACGCGCCCGCCGTAAAAACGCCCGCGTCCGAATGTTCGAGCGATGCCGGGCGACGATCGCGTCGCGCAGGTCACGGCGCGCGCGCACGTGCCGACGGTGACCATGCACCACTACGACGTGCTCCTCGCGGCCGCGCGCGTCGCGCTGGGCCACAACTGCGCGTTGTTCGCGCCCTTCGCCGGAGATCCGACGCAGGACCCGCGCCGCGCGGCGTCGCGACGGTTTTCAACGGTCGTGTCGCAACATCCGAAACGGCCATCGCCGGCGCCGACGACCCCGTCGCCGCGCTCGACTGCTTCTGGGAGTTCGCGCACTTCGTCGACAACCTGCCGGCGGTCACCGAGGCCGCCGTCGCGGCCGTCGTCGGCCAGGTCCACGCGCAGGCGCGGCCGGCGGCGCTCGCGGCGGCGACGCGCTGCGTCTGGAAGCTGGCGGAGATGTCCAAGGTCGCCGAGACCGCCGCGCTTTCCGCGGGCCTCCCCGCGCGGCTCGCGGACGCCAGGGCAGCAAAAGGGTGATTCAACGTCGCTTCAACGTGAGTGTTCCGCGCGCGCGCGTTTCGGAAACAGCACCTATGCTTCGAGAGCGCTCCGAGAGATGATCGCTCGTCCAAAAATCAGCCGAAACGAGCGGAAAACGACCGAGATAGGAGCCTTTGAAGTTGGGAATTTCGCACCCTTTTGCTGCCCAGGCGGACGTGCTCGCGCGCGCGTCCCACGCGGACCGCGCCGACTTCCGGAACCTGCCCATCGCCGTCGTCCGCGTCGTCCTCGGCTGCCTCGCGGCGCTCGCGCGGAAGCGCGTCGCCGTGCGCGACTTCGTCGCCGACGAGGCCGTGGACGCCGTGTCGCGCTGCGGCGAGCGCAGCGGCGCGCGCCAGCTGCTGGAGCACCACCCGCTGGACCGCGTCGACGCCCACGGCTACGAGGCCACGGAGGGCGATTATGTTGGTGTTGTCGCGACGGCCGTCGAGCTCGTCTGGTACGCGGCGTCGTCGTCCAAGGCCGCGCGGCGCGCGGCGCTCGGCGCGGCCGGTTTCTCGCGGCGTCCCGGGACGGTTTCTCGAGAGCAAAGGACACAAACACACAACCGTAGGCCTGCGCCTGCTGCGCGAGGCCATGGAGGAGCCGCGCCACGGGGCCGTCGCGAAGCTCGCCGCGGCGACGGCGCAGCTCGCCGCGCGCGAGCGAGTCCGCGAGCGGTCGCGGGGCGACGGCGGCGGCGCGGGCGACGTCGCGCGCGCCGCGCTCGGCGCCGCGCGGCTCTGCCTCCGGAGCCTGGGGGACGCGGCCGTGCCGCGGGGCACGCTCCGGGTCGCGGCGACGGCGGCGCACGCGCTGAGCCTGCTGCGCCACGCGTCGCTCGACGACGGCGCGTACACGGGCGACGACGCGCGCTTCGAGGAAGCCACGAAGGCCTGCATCGCCGCGCTCCTCGCCGCCGGCGACGACGTCGCGGACCGCGACGACGCCGTCTTCTGCCTCCACGGCGCGCTGGCCCACTTCGAGGGCGCGGGCCGCGCGGCCGACGGCGACCACCTGCGGACGACGCTGGCCACGGTCGCGAGGCTCGGCCACAACGCGCGCGCGCAGGCCGCCTGCGCCCACGTGCTGCTGCGCGCCGCGCTCGCCGAGGAGGACGTCGCGCGCGCCGCGTTTCTCGGGGAACCCCACTTCGACGCGCTCGCGGACCTCGTGGCGCGGGCGGACCCGGCCGTCGCCGCGCCGCTCGCGGGCGTGCTGCAGATCCTGTGCTTGTTCGGCGTCCTGCGGTGCGGGCGGGCACGGGACCGAACCATCCGTAGGTGCTGCCGCGACCGCTGGCGCTGCGGCGAGGGCACGACGCGCGTCAAGACCTGGGAGCCTTTTCACGTCGCGGCGCTCGCGGCGTGCGTCGGATCCGCGGAGGACGCGCGGTGCCTGGTGACGCCCGCGCGCGCGGGCCTCGCGGCGCACGTCTTCGTCTTCTCCCTGCTGGCGCTCCACCGCGTGCTGAGCTTCGGCGACACGACGATCCTGGAGCCGCTCGTCGCGTCGGGCGCCGTCGAGCTGCTGGGCCGCGTGGCCGCGGCGGCCGCGAAGCGGTGCTCGACGACGAGCCGCGACGGCCGCGTGCTCCTCGTCGTCTGCCGCGCGGCGTGCTCGTCGCTGAAGCGCCTCGCGCTGGGCCTCCGCGAGGGCGCCGCCAGGGCCGTCGGGAGCGGCGCGCTCCTCAGGGCGCTCCTCGCCGCGACGGCGCCGCGCGACGACGAGCGCGACGACGCGGCCCTCGCGCCGCACCGCGCGGAGCTCGTCGACGCCTTCTGGCAGCTCGCGGACGTCGACGACGACGGCGACGTCGACGCGAGCGCGGCCGTGCCCGTCGAGGACGCGCCGCGGCTCGCGGCGCGGCTGGAAGCGTTGGCGTCCTACGACCCGGCCGCGGCGGCGCGGGACGTCGTCGCCGCCCCGGAACCCCCCCCGAAGCGGCGGAGCTCGCTGCGGCTCGGCGGCGAGGGGCCGCGCGCGTTCGACGGCGCCGCGGCCCGGGAGCGGCTCGCGGCGTCGTGCTGCTGGCTGCTCCTCCGCCTCGCGGCGTCGAACGACAAGTTCGTGGGCGAGACGCCGCTCGTGAAGCGCTGCGTCGACGCGCTCGCGCGGCCGGCGATGCGGGGGAGCGCGCTCTTCGTGCTCCAGGAGCTCACGGCGCGCGACGACGCGAGCCGCCTGCCCGTGGCGAAGACGGGCGCGGCGCGGCTCGTGAGGATCGCCGCGGGCGACGACCCGGACGTCGCGCTCCGGGCGGCCTACGTGCTGATGAACTGCGCGGTGAGCCGCGCCGCGGTGCCGCTCGTGACGCGCGCGGGCCTCAAGGATCTGGTCCACCTGTCGAACGAGACGGACGGCGACCCGCTCGTGCGCACGGCGGCGTCGGCCGTGCTCGCGAACCTGTCGCGCCACGCGGGCGCGAAGCACCGCATGCACATCTACTCGTTGAACGAGCGCGAGCACCCGCCGGAGCTCCGGGCGGAAACACCGAACGACCCGCCGGCGCCCGTCGCGAAGAAGCCCGAGGACGCGGGCGGGCGCTACGCCGAGTGGTACGACGCGTCGTTCGCGGCGCCGCGGCGCGCGGCGAAGCCGCCGCGCGAGCGCGCGGGGCCGCGCGTGCCGCTCCACACCGCGCCGGCGCGCGCGCTCTGGAGCCGCCACGCGAAGACCGACGACGAGCCGCCCGTGACCTTCTCCGTGCGCGCCCACGATCCGAAGCTGCCGCTGGCGGCGCCGCGGCCCCTGCCCGGCGCCAAGGCCGGCGAGCGCCCGGCGGCGCGGCCCGGGTCCGCGCCCGCGGCCCGCCGGCCGGGCGCCGCGCCGGGCCGCCCGGGGTCCGCGCCCGCGCGGCGGCCGGGACCCCGGCCCGCGGATCCGCCCGCGACGCCCGCGCGCCGGCCGTCGTCGGCGCCGTCGAAGCGGCCCCAGTCCGCGCCGTCGAAGCGGTCGCCGGCGTCGCCGCGGCCCGGCTCCGCGTCGACGTGGCGCAGCGCGGGCCCGCCGGACCGGCCCGCGTCCGCGCGGCACCGCGCGCACCGCCGGCGCCATTTGGCGACCGCGGCGCGCGACTTCCGCGACGTCACGGCGCCGCGGCCGGGGTCCTTCCGCATCGGCCCCGCGGGCGCCCACGGCTCCGTGCCCGGCGCCGAGGGCGAGCACGCCTGGGCGCCGCACCTCGAGGCCTTCGGGCGGGTCGGCGACGGCAAGGCCATGGTGCTCGCGCCCGGCGGCCAGCGCAACGAGTTCACGTTCGTCGCCAAGCACCACAAGCCCCCGGGGGAGGCGCCCCCGCCGTCGAGCCACGCCCAGCTCTACGCCTTCAAGGCCGTCCGGGGCTCGAAAATCTCCGAGCTCTTCCCGACGTTCGCGTTCCCGCGGAGGACGAAGGCGCCCGCGGCCGAGGAGCCGTCGACGTCCACCGCGTCCAAGTCCCACTACCACCTCTACCGCCAGAGCCGCGTGCCCTGCGAGGTCGTCGGCCCGGGCCGCTGGCCGGGCGACGCGTGCGCGAGCCGGAGCCTGGACGCGGACGACGTCGACCTGACGGGCTTGCTGCCGGAGCTCGAGCCGCCCGGCGCGGCGCCGCTGCCGCCGCTGCGCATGCCGCCGGCGCCGCGGTCGCCGAAGATCGACCGCCACTACATGCCCCACCTGCGGGCGCTGGCGGATCTCGGCGAGGTCGTCGACTACGGCCGGCTCCAGTCGCCGCAGCTGCTCCTCCTCGCGCGGCGCGTCGACGAGGCGCCCGACGACGGCGGCGACCGCGACGGCGGCCACGACGAGACGACGCCGGAGCCGTCGGACTGGAACCTGCTGGGCTCCATCTTCGAGCCGCGCGTGCGCGAGTGCGACGCGAAGGACTTTTACAACGTGCCGCGCGTCTACGAGTCCGCGATCCGAAAGGACGGGTTGCGCCACGCGGAGACGGACCGCCTCCGCCACCTCTGCGTCGTCCTCGCCGGCGGCCACGGCGGCGCTCGGCCGCCGCCCTTCGAGCACGCCGTCCAGCGGGGGCTGCGGGACGCGTACCCGCTGCTCTGCGACGCCTTCGACTACTACGCCGCGCGCGGGCCCCACGGCGACATCTTCACGCTGGGCATGGAGTCCTGGACCCACTTCTGCCGGGACTGCGGCCTGAGCGACGGCGACGACGACGCCGAGGCCGAGGACGTCCACGTGCAGTGCTGCATCGAGGCGACGCCCGCGGTGACGAACGAGCGCCACGGCAAGCACAAGCTGACGCGGCACCAGTTCCTCGAGGCCTACGTGCGCATGGTCGACTTCAAGTTCGGCCTGGGGTCCATCGCCGAGGACCACATCCGCAACTGCCGCCTGCCGTCGCACAAGTACGTCGCCGAGGCCTTCGCGAAGGTCCTCGGCGACATGAAGGTGAAGCTGCCCCGGGGCGCCATCCTCGACGGCGACGCGTTCCGGCGGTCCACGCTCTACAAGGCGGACGTGGACGACGCGCTGAGCAGGCACAGGAAGCGGCTCTATGAGCTCTTCGAGGCCTACGCGGCGCGGCGCGGCGTCGCGGGCGGCCTCCACTTTGGGGTGGAGACCTGGGAGGAGTTCGTCGAGGACGCGGGCCTGCGGTGCGCCGAGGTGAGCCGCCTGGACGTCCACGAGGTCTTCCTGCGGTCGAGGATGCGCTCCGTCGACGACCTCGCGGAGAAGCACCGCGCGCTGACGTTCGTCGACTTCCTCGAGGCGCTCTGCCGCGTCTTCCTGCTCTTCCCCGTGCCGTCGGCGGCGGCGCTCGACGAGATGCGGAGCCGCCAGATCACGGAGTTCTTCGTGGGCATCGCGAAGCTCGTCGACGCGGGCGCGATGGGCGACCAGCGCGTCTTCGACCTGCTCGCGCCCGACCTCGACGCGCGCCTCGCGGAGAAGGTGCCGCGCATGGTGCCCTACGTCTTCCAGTGCCTCGCGGTGACGCACCGGGGCAGGCTCGCGACCCACGGGCGCATCGTCTCCTTCAGGAAGGACCTCACGCCGGCCCAGGAGAACCGGTGGTTCAACTCGCGCGCGCCCTACACGGCGGAGCGCGTCGGCCAGCTCGTCGAGGCGCTGGAGAAGCCCGCGCGCCACCGGCTCGACGCGTTGGTCACGGAGGTCGTCAAGCACCGCTACCGCGACGCCGCGGCGCAGATCCTGGAGAAGGTGGCGGCGATGCCGCGGAACGCGTACGGCCTCATCGCGGGCAAGACGCTCCGCGCGGCGCTCGGCGGGAGCGCGCACAAGGCCTTTCTACCCTTCGCGGCGCTCTGGTTCCCGGGCAAGGACTCGTTCACGTTGGAGGACATGACGCTGGCGACGTCCCTGTACGGCCGGTGGGCGCTGGCGTGCCGCGCGATCCAGCGCTTCGTGCGGCGCGTCGCCTACGGCCGCCTCATCGAGGAGGCGCGGCGGGAATCCCTGCGGAAGGTGCGGCACAAGACCGTCGCCGTGCGCCGGCGGCGGTCCTCCGTGAAGCAGCAGCAGGGGCGCGGCGGCGCGTCCACCGTCGAGCAGCCGGCGTCGCTCCACCACCGCCGGTCGTCGCAGGGCGCGGTCACGCAGCAGGACCTGGCGCTCCTCGTCGCCAAGCACAAGGTCGCGCGGTCCCACCACGTCGCCAAGGGCGCGCCCCTCGCCGGCGTGCGCCCGGGCCTCGGCACGCCCGCGCCCAGCGGCCGCGGCGTCGCGCAGGCGCCCGCGCCCGCGTTCGCGGACGACCCCGCGTCGCCGGCGGGGTCCGGCGACGAGGCGCCGCCGTCGCCCCTCCGGGCCGTCGTCCGCGCGCCGCCGCCGCGGCCCCGGCCGCCGCCGGGCCACCCGAGCTAAGCCTCCAGGAGCGTGGTTTATAATTAGGGTTGGACGATGGGCGTCGGTGGTCGCGCGATGGCCGTCTCGAGGTGCGCGTCGACGGCGGCGTCGATCTTCTTCTTGAAGGACGGCGCGTCGATCTTGTGCGCGACGTCCGGCGGGATCGCGTGGAACGGGTTCCGCAGGTACTCCGCGTAGGCACCGTGGCACTTGGCGAAGAAGGCGCGCCACTCCTCCTCCACGGGCCGCTTGCGGTCGTCGATGACGGCGATGAACTTGACGTTCGTGTTCGTCGTGTAGCCGTAGATCTGGAACTCGTCGACGGGGCAGAGGAAGCCGAGGTACATGTCCTGCTGCCGCTTCTTCATGGAGACGCACTCGTCGACGATGTCCAGCGAGCAGAAGACGAGGCTCTGGAAGTAGAGGCCCTTGTCGCCGTACTCGTCGTAGGTGGCGAAGTAGAGGGGCTCGTTCTGCTTGCCGATGACGCAGAAGGCGGCGCAGGTGCGCTCGCTGATGGTCACCGGGGCGCCGAACATGACCTGCTCGGAGCTCGCGGCGCGCGGCGGCGTCGGCGGCTCCGTCGGGGGCGGAGGCGTCGCGTCGACGTTGGCGGCCATGGCTGCGAGCACGACGGCGCGGGCGCCGGAGACGCTGCACTCTGGCTGCTCGAGCAGGCTAGGAGATGCTGAAGTCGATGAGGCATTGCCACAAGCCTCGAGCCCGCGAGACCAGCGTCTGGCACGATGAGCTCGAGCAAGGCGGAGCCCTGTCCCTGCTGCGAGGAGCGCCAGCTGCGGGCCGGCGCCTGGCAGTTCCTGCCCGCGGGCCTCGCGCCGCCCGGGGCCTGCGAGGCCTGCGTGCTGCCGCCGGCGCCGCCGCTGAGCGATGACCTGCCGCCCTTCGTCTGGCCGCGGACGACGGCCGCCATCGAGGCGCTCGCGGCGGACGTCGAGGCCGAATTCGAGGCGACGATGGCCGCCGTCGCGGCCGTCGACGCGCCGACGTTCGCGACGGTCATCGAGCCCCTCATGAACGCGCCGCACTTCAAGACCAACAAGGCCATATGCGAGGCCAAGTTCCTCCAGCACTGCTCGACGAACAGCATCCTGCGCGAGGCCGCCGACGGCGCGGGCGCGCGCTTCGCGAAGCTCAAGGCCCGGGGCCGCACGCTCAAGGACGTCTACGCCAAGGTCCGCGCGTTCAAGGCCACGGCGGAGTGCGCGGCCCTCGGCGCCTACGAGACGCACTTCGTCGACAGCATCCTGGGCCAGTTCGAGCGGAGCGGCCTCGGTTTGGACGCGGCGCAGCAGGCCGAGCTCGCGGCGTGCCGCGAGGCCGACGCCGCGGTCTGCGCGCGGTACAAGAAGAACCTCGCCGAGGACGACACGAAGCTCTTCTTCGCGCCCGAGGAGCTCGCGGGTTTGGACGAGGGCTGGCTCAAGGCGCGGACGCAGGCCGACGGCAACGTCTTGGTGACCCTCAAGTACCCGGACCTGATCCCCGTGCTCCAGTCGTGCGCCGTGGCCGCGACGCGGCGCCGCGTCTCGGCCGCGCGCGAGGTCGAGGCCTACGAGGACAACCTCGACCTCGTCGCCGAGGGCATCCAGCTCCGCAAACGCATCGCGGAATTGCTCGGCTACGCGAGCTGGGCCTCGCTCGCGACGGAGACGCGCATGTCCGGGTCGCCGGCGAACATCGACGCCTTCGTGGGCCCGCTCGCGGCGCGCGTCGCCGATGGGGCGCGGGCGGACCTCGACGCGCTCCGCGACCTGAAGCGGTCGGACACGGGGGACGCGACATGCGAGCTCGAGGCGAGCGACGTGTCCTTCTACTCCGCGCTGCGGCTCAAGAACGACTACGGCGTGGACCACGAGGCCGTGAAGCAGTACTTCCCCCTGGACCACGTCGTCGAGACGACGATGCGCATCTACCAGGAGCTGCTGGGTCTCGTGTTCACGGAGATCTTCGCGTTCGACACGTGGCACCCGTCCGTGCGCCTCTTCAAGGTGCGGGACGCGGCGACGTCCGAGAAGATGGGCTTCTTCTACCTGGACCTGTTCCCCCGCGACGGCAAGTACGGCCACGCGGCCATCTTCCACCTGCTGAAGCGCTGGAAGACCCAGGTGCCCGTCGACTGCATGCTCTGCAACCTCCCGGAGCCCGCGGACGGCAAGCCCGCGCTGCTGCGGCATTCGAACTGCGTGACTTTTTTTCACGAGTTCGGCCACATCATGCACGGCCTATGCGCCGTCGGCGACGGCCAGCGCGACGGCGCTCGCCAAGTTTCCGCGCGACTTCGTCGAGGCGCCGAGCCAGATGCTCGAGAACTGGTGCTGGACCAAGGAGGGGCTCACGCGGCTCTCGAAGCACGTCGACACGGGCGCGACGCTGCCCGACGACCTGCTGGAGAACATGCTCCGGGCGAAGAACGCGGGCGTCGGCGCGGCCATGGCGCGGCAGATCTACCTCGGCCGGCTCGACCTCGCGATCCACGGCGCCGACGTGCCGGCGGACGCCGCGGCGCTCCAGGCGCTCGTCGACCGGCTCCGGCCCGAGATCTCGCTCGTGGACAACCCGCCGGGCGCGAACATGCTCCGGAGCTTCGGCCACCTCATGAACCAGTACTCCGCGGCGTACTACGGCTACCTCTGGGCCGAGGTGCTCTCGGCTGACATGTTCGCGACGCGCTTCGAGGCCAATCCCTTCGACGCGGCGGCGGGCCGGCGCTACCGGGACCTCGTGCTCGCGCCCGGCGGCGTGGGCAAGATCGCGGACCACCTCGCGACGTTCCTCGGCCGCGCGCCGTCGCAGGCGGCGTTCCTCGAGAGCCGGGGCATCAACTAAGCGAGCGTTCCTCCTCGAGGGCCGGGGCATCGACGAAGCGAGCTCCCCGGGGGGTCGAGTGTACAAGGGGACTCGCGTTACGCCGGCGGCGCGCTCTATCGGACGAGCTCGACCTTCGTCGTCGCGTCGGTGATGGACACGGAGCAGTCCGCGTCGGCGTCGTAGTCCGCCCAGTCGCCGTCGCCCAGGTCGACGTCGTCGAAGATGGCGTCGCCCTCGGAGTGGACGACGAGGTCGCCGCGGCCGAGATGGAACTTTGTGACGTCCATGCCGCGCGCCTCGAAGGCGACGATGGGCACCCACTCGCCGCTGTCCTCGGCCGTGAGCGCGCGCGGCGCCTGCTTGAGGGCCTCCTTCTTCTTCTTGAAGCGGGACTTGAAGTCCTCGTCGCCGAGGATGGAGCAGCTCGCCTTCTCGGCCGAGTCCTGGAACTTCAGGACGAGGTTCGAGATGCCGCGCGACCCCTCGAGCTCGATCTCGTCGAGGGAGCAGATGGTCACGCGCTCGCGCACCTCGTCGGACATGCCGTTCTTCACGTCGATCTCGAAGGTCCGGTCCTTGCCCGTGAGCGGGCCCACGAAGCTCACGCCGTCGAGCTCCGCCTTGAGGTAGGCGACGAACACGGGCATCGTCGGGGCGCGGCGAACGGTCGTATGGAGCGCCGAAAGCTGGCGGCGAGGGAGGGCAAGCGACGGCGTCGGCAGGGCGCGAAAGCTCGAGGTCGGGCCGCCGAAGCAGCGCCTGAAAATCGACCTCAGCGAGCGTTCAACGAGGCCTGCAACAAGAACGGCAACGTTACCTCCTACCCGCCTGCGCCCCCTCGTCGACCTCAGTCCTCCTCCTCGACCTCGTCGCTGCCGTAGGACTCGTCGTCCTGGGCGTTGGGGTCGTAGTCCGGGTAGACGAAGTCCTCGAAGGGGAGCACGGACGCGCGCCGGTGGCTCGAGCCCGCGCCGTCGTGGATGAGGTTCTGGAGGCTGCCCAGCAGCTCCGTCAGCACCTCGACGACGTGCGCCTTGTTGTTCGTCGACAGCTTCTCGCCGGACGCGTCGAGCTTCGGCGAGTGCGGCGGCTCGTCGCCGGCCGCCGCGGCCTCCTCCTCCTCCTGCTTGATGATCTTCGCGAGCACCTCCTCGTACTGGGTCATGAGCTCGTGCTTCTCGTTGACGCCCAGGACCTGGCGGCAGAGGTTCAGCGCCATCTGGTACTTCTTCTGGCAGAGCTGCGCGATGATCTCGATGAGCAGGTCGGTCTCGCCCGGCACGCTCTCCGACGGGGGCTCGACGCTCTCCGCGGCCGCGGGCGCCGCGCACTCGGCGTCGGCCATGCTACACCCCGCCCGCGGAGCGCGCCGCCGCGGATCCGGAGGCTTGCGGCGAGAGCGCTGATGGTTTCAGCGCGGAGCCAAAGAGAGAATCGGCAGCCCCGACCGATCCCGGTGCAAGAGTGAAGGTGAAGCCCAAGAAGCAGTGGATCGTCTGCGCGATGAGCTTGCTGCTTAGAGGCATGCGCCACGCCCGGCGCGCGGCCCTCGCGCCGCCGCGGCCCGCCGCCCGCTTCGCGCCGGCGCCCGGCGCGCGCTGGCTCAGCGACGCGGCGCCGGCGGCGACGTACGTGGACCACGACGACCCCCTGGGCCCCGCCGAGGAGGCCCTGGAGCGGGGCGTCGCCGGCGGCAAGTTCGCCGTCGTGCGCCTCGGCGGCACGCAGTACAAGGTCGCGCGCGACGACGTCATCGTCGCCGAGCACCTCGAGCACGCCGTCGTCGGCGAGGACCTCGTCCTCGACGAGGTGCTCCTGGTCGGCACCGAGGCGACGACGGTCGTCGGCCGGCCGCTCGTGCCCGACGCGCGCGTCGTCTGCGCCGTCGAGGAGCAGACCAAGGACGCCAAGGTCGTCGTCTTCAAGAAGCGGCGGCGCAAGGCGAGCCGCCGCCGCACGGGCCACCGCCGCCTCGTCACGCTCCTCCGCGTCCTCGACATCGAGGGCGACGTCGCCGGCCCCGCGGAGGCGTAACGTCGCGTTTTAGTATCCGCAGTCGCGGGCATATCGAGCGGCGGCGCTCCGCGCCGGTGCGGGGAAGCGACGTCCGCCGACGGGCGGGGACGCGGGGGGACTCGCGCCGCCGGACATCGAAACCGGCGAGTCCGCGCGGCGTCGATCGGGAGTCGAAGGCGGCGCGCGTCGCCTCGGCCAGATGTGCGAATCGGGGCGGGCGCTCGGGGGGGCGCTTGAGCCCGGGCTTGAGCCCTGGCAGTTTTGATTGACGTTTGGTGGGCAGAGCATCGTATCCAACGATATCCACCGGAACCGCGAGGGCCGCTTGGGCAGCGCCGCTCCACTGGCTCTCAGCAAGCACAGGCGTTGATCTCGCCGGCTCTTGCCCCCCCGCGCCGACCATGGCCTCCCGCGTCCTCCTCGCCCTCGCCCTCGCGGCCCCGGCCGCGGCCGAGTGCCCCAACGCCTGCAGCGGCCACGGCACCTGCGGCGCCTTCGACGAGTGCCACTGCTACCCGAACTGGCAGGAGGCCGACTGCAGCGGGCGCACGTGCCCCTTCGCCCTGGCCCACGTCGACTCGCCCAAGGGCGACCTCGACGGCTCCGCCGACGCCCTCTCCGGCACGTCGTCCGTCGTCATCACCGAGTCCACGGTCTACCCGTACGGCACGACGGAGCAGTACCCGCTCATGGTCGACACGTTCGGCCGCGAGCTCAAGAACACGGCCCACGCCTACGCGGAGTGCGGCAACAAGGGCATCTGCGACCGCAAGAGCGGCGAGTGCGAGTGCTTCCCCGGCTACGAGGGCGCGGGCTGCCAGCGCGCGTCGTGCCCCGACCCGTCGTGCAGCGGCCACGGCACGTGCATGTCCGCCAAGGACCTCGCGACGGCCGACTTCGACAACGTCTACCGCCTCTGGGACAAGGACGTGTCCATGGGCTGCAAGTGCGAGCCGGGCTACAGCGGCCCGTCCTGCGCGGACAAGATGTGCAAGTACGGCGTCGACCCGCTCTACGACGACGACGAGATGATGTCGATCCGCGTGCCCACCGCGCGCATCGTCATGACCTTCGACAACTCGAGCGCGACGACGGAGCCCGAGGACGCCGCGACGCTGGACTACAACCCCGACCGCGCGTCCACCGCGAAGATCGAGGGCACGTACGCGATCAAGTTCTACGACGTCTTCGGCGAGGACTACGAGACGGCGCCCATCCTCGTCTCCGCGGGCTGCGACGACATCGTCGCGTCCCTCGAGTCGTTGCCCAACACCGTCGTCCCGGCCAACTCCGTGCGCTGCACGGACCTCGGCGACTACCCGGACACGGCGAGCCCCGACGCGGCCAGCTACGTGACCTACGACCTGCTCTTCGAGGAGAACCCCGGCGACCTCAAGCCCGTCGAGGTCAACGCCTACCTCGACGGCGGCCGCCCGACGGTCTACGTCGTCGACGGCAAGGCCAACGAGACGGCCATGGACTTCGACGTCGACATCGCCGTCTACCCCAACTACCACGGCATCTCCGGCGAGTTCGTCGACTACTTCTCCGAGTACTGCCACGGCGTCACGGCGACGATCTCCGAGTTCACGGGCGGCGCCACCTTCCCGACGAAATCCGACAAGGCCTACTTCGGGGAGCTCACGGACATGACCGTCGCGGAGAAGAAGCTCCTCAAGAAGTGCCTCGGCGACGCCGACGGCGACGCCGACAACAACAAGGAGGTCTACGACTGGGACTACGGCTCCTGGAACACGACGTACCACCCCCACATCGTCAAGGTCGCGCCCCACCCCACGAGTGGCATCGCGCCCAAGGAGGACGTCTACGACGCGGGCAAGTTCATGCTCATGTACTTCGAGGACGCGGACGACACGGCGACGGGCGGCGCGCCCGGCGGCACCTTCTTCACGTCGGGCTACAAGAGCGCCGACGACGTCGCGGACCGCGACTACATCATCTTCACGACCGACGGCGTCGCGACGATCATCGCCAACGGCACCGACGGCCACTTCGGCACGGGCACGGGCGGGTCCACGGACTACGACCACAACCCCGTGACGGCCTACTTCGAGAAGGGCACGTCCGTCGTCTACACGTCCCAGGACGTGTCCTGCTACAGCGGCACCATGCACGGCGTCCAGTCCTACCCCTGGGCCGGCGGCGCGTCGAACGAGAACGCGGCGTACTCGCAGACGTCCGCGAAGTACGACACGCTCAACACGTGCCTCGAGAAGGGCGACTTCGTCTTCCTCTTCTCCAACAAGATCACGACCATGGGCCAGGGCGACGCCCAGGGCCTCGCCGACTCCAAGATGTCCGTGGGCAACATGTACGAGATCGTCAAGATCGGCGTCAACCCGACGTCGTCGTCGACCTACGCCGTCGAGGACCGCTTCTACTTCGTCGTCGACAAGGTCATCAACTACGACGGCTCCGAGGTCGCCGCGCGCGCCCTCGTCGCGACCGCCGCGGCGGGCACGGCCGCCGTGTCGTCCGTCATCGACGCCGACTACACGGACGACGACCTCCGCGAGACGCCCTCCGAGCAGATGATCGGCCTCCAGTCCATCGTCAAGTTCGCGCCCGCGTCCACGGGCACCTACGAGTACGTCCAGCAGTGCTCCGGCCGCGGCCTCTGCGCGTCCGAGTCGGGCCTCTGCGAGTGCTTCACGGGCTACACGAACGACAACTGCGACCAGCAGTCCGCGCTCGCCGGATAGGCGGGCCGCCGGCCCCCGAGGGCGCCCCCCGCTTCCCCGAAGCGGCCGCGGGCGCCACACTAAGCTCACGTCTGGTGACTAGCGCGCGCCAACGGCATCCCAACGGGCCGCTCGCGGTCCTCGACCGCGCCGCGGGACCGGTATTATTATTATTATGGGTGCTTTAACGTGGGACTTTGACGGCGGCCCGTGGGCGGCCGTCGGCGCACGCGGTAGGCGACGCCCCACTCGCTGTAGAGCCCCCCAAAAAAGCAAGGGGTATAATTTTCCCGCCCTTCGGGGCTTCGCCAATTGTGGCGCCGGGGAGGCTGATCCTCCCCCCGTGGGCCTTCGGCCCCTGCTGGGGGGCAGCCCCCCCACCGACTTCAACTTCTTCCGTCCGAGACCTATCGGCCGCGTGTGCTCTTGTGCATGCGGCTTCTCCGACGCTAAATCCCAAATAATAATAATAATATATGCGTCCCCGACGCCCGGCGCGGCGCACGACCGCCCCTCGGCGTCGCAGGTATCTCGACAACAACAAGATCGAGGGCCCGCTCCCGACCGAGATCGGCCAGCTCACGGGGCTGACGCAACTGCGAGTTCCCCCCGCGTCCCCGACGCCCGTCGCGGCGCGCGACCGACCCTCGGCGTCGCAGGTTACTGGAAAATAACAAGATCACCGGCCCGATCCCGACCGAGATCGGCCAGCTCACGACGCTGTGGTACCTGCGAGTTCCCCCCGCGTCCCCGACGCCCGGCGCGCCGCGCGACCGCCCCTCGACGTCGCAGGTTCCTCTACGAGAACGAGATCAACGGCACGGTCCCGCTCGCCCTCTGCGGCGTGGACTATTGCTACGCCGTCTGGTCCGGCAATCCCGACCTCGTCGCGCCGTGCGGCACGACGGGCTGCTGCGATCTCGGGAACGGCGCGGCGTGCCCGACGGTTGCGCCGTCGGCCACGCCCTCCGACGCGCCCACGGCCACGCCCTCCGACGCGCCCACGGCCACGCCCTCCGACGCGCCCACGGCCACGCCCTCCGACGCGCCGTCGGCCACGCCCTCCGACGCGCCCACGGCCACGCCCTCCGACGCTCCCTCGGCCACGCCCTCCGACGCTCCGACGGCCACGCCCTCCGACGCGCCCACGGCCAAGCCGTCCGACGTGCCGTCGGCCAAGCCCTCCGACGCGCCGACGGCCAAGCCGTCCGACGCGCCCACGGCCAAGCCCTCCGACGCGCCGACGGCCAAGCCGTCCGACGCGCCCACGGCCAAGCCGTCCGACGCGCCCACGGCCAAGCCCTCCGACGCGCCCACGGCCAAGCCGTCCGACGCGCCCACGGCCAAGCCCTCCGACGCGCCCACCGCCAAGCCCTCCGCGAGTCCCACGACCGCCCCGACGAATCTCTCGCTAGACGCAGGCGAATTCGGAGAAGGCGACGGTTCCTTCACGGAGGTCGCGGAGCGAGGCTGCTCCAAGCACACGAAGAAGAAGCGGTGCAACCGCAAGCGCAAGTGCGTGTGGATCGGCGGCTCGCACGAGTGCCTCGCGGACTGCGAGGTCCTCACCAAGGAATCGCGGTGCCGCAAAAAGCGGAATTGCGTCTACAAGAAGGGCGCGTGCCGGTTCAAGAAGGCCTGCGCCTACAAGATCTCGCACGGCAAGTGCAAGAAGGCCTCGAAGTGCCGCGTGAAGAAATTCGCGGGCGCCGAGAAGTTCGACGCGCACGGCCAGAAGATGTGGCTCTGCGAGCACCGCGAGAACTAGGCGGCGCGCCCCTCGTACCTCGCCAAAAAGAGAAGCGCCGACAAGGCGCGCTTCTCCCCGCGGCCCGCCGCGGCGCGAAAGCCACGCGCCGCCGCCGCCGCGCTGTCCGGAGCCCCCCCGAAGCCCCCCACCCGGTGCCCCGAGGGACCCAAACGGAGCTAAGAGCGCGAGTAGCCCGGGGACAACTTGAACACGCCTCCTCGCCAGCGCTCGTCGACGTGCTCTCGCGGCGCACGGACGCGTGGACCTACCGCGGGCGGCGAGCGACCTGGGTCGCCGAGCTGGCGGCGTCGTTTTAATGCAGGAGGTTTGGTGGTGGATTTGGCTCCTCGCGTAGTCGGAGCCACTGCGGCAAAGAATCGGCGACCGGCGAACCGTCGTGATTGCAAAGCTGTCGCGCGCCGCCATGACTCGCTTCGCGGACATGCGTAGCCCTCGGTTCCGGCAGGTCGCAGACCGCGCCGCGGTCCGCCGCTACGCAGTCCGCCCCCAGATCCTCGACACGGCGGACGGCGACGAGAGCTCCGACGAGGAGGCGACAGTGGCCACCATCGAAGAGCTCGAGTCCACGGGGCTCGAGTCGCGCCCCAGCTCGCCTCTCGGCGCCGTTCGCCTCACCGGTAAGGCGGCGGCGATGGCGCGCATGTTGCAGCAGAAGGCCGAGCGGCAGGCCGCTGACAAGAAAACCGGCTCAAGGCGCTCGCGCGCGCCAACGGCATCCCGGAGCACGCCATCGAGGACGCGTGCGTCCCGTGAGCGCGGAAGCGGAAGCGCGCCGGCCCGGGCGCGACCCGCCCCCCCGCGAGACAAGTAAGCGAGCCCGCGCGAGATTTGAGACGCCAGCTTCGTGGTGGAGGAGTTATCGATGGGAGGCGGGGGGGTGGGGGGGGGCGGTTCCGGGAGGGCGGAGGACGAGTGCCCGCGCGCCTAGCGGCGGCGGCCGGGGCCCATGACGTGGGCCGTGCCGTGCTCGTCCGACGCCGGCGGCGGCCCGTCGTCGTCCGCCGGCGCGGCGCCGTCGGAGGTCCCGGAGGTGCCGATGCAGGTGTGGATCTGGTCGTCGGCCGTGTTGACGAGCTTCATGACGACCTGGAGGTCCTTGACGGTGACGGCCTCCGCGAGCGCGACGTAGTCGCGGATGCCCGCGAGCTTCTTGTTGGGCACGGCGTCCATGGCGCAGCCCGTGAGCTGCTCGCACCAGTACTTGTTCGAGTTGAGCTCCGCGACGTGGCGGTTGATGACGACGCGGCGCGCGGCCTCGAGGTTGTCCGGCGTCGCCGGCTGGGGCCCGTCGAGGCCCTGGAGCGTCTCGCGGCAGGCCTCGAGGGCCCGCTCGGCGTTCGCCGGCGACGCCGTCACGGACACGAGGTACCAGCCGCCGTTGAGGCGCTCGTGGTCGCTGAAGTGGAAGTTCGCGTCGTACGTGAGCTGCTTCCGCTCGCGGACGACGGAGAAGAGGCGCCGGTTCGCCACCTCCTGGAGCAGCGACAGGGCCACGGCGGGGAAGAGCGGGTGGCGCCAGCGCTCCGGCGCCTTGGACGTGTCCGCCGTGCCCAGGAGCGCCTCCACGAGCGACCGGCCGTCCGCTAAAACGCCGAGGCGGTTCGGCGCCGCGCCCGCGATGTACGCGACCGCGCGCGGGTCGCTATCGGAGACGTGGACCCGCAGGGGCGCGTCGGGGTTCGGCGGGAGCGTCGTCGCCGTCGCGCCCGGGGGCGCGTCGGTGGCGGGGTTCGGGTTCTTGGACGGCACGGAGCCGACGTACTCGTGCGCGAGCGCCTCGGTCCGCTCCGCGTCGACGTCGCCGACGACGCTGATCTCGACGTTCGCCGGGTCGAGCTGGGCCATGACGCAGGACCGCACGTCCTCCAAACTCAGCGCGTCGGCGGCGTCGTTGGGCAGCGACAGGAACCGCGCGTCGTCGCCCAACAATTGCGCGAGCAGCGCCTCCTGCGCGGCGCCCTCCATGGAATACAGGTGCGTCTCCGTCTGCTGCTGGAGCCCGAGGCGCGCCCGCTGGAGGGCGTCGGGCTCCCACTTGAAGGCGCCGGGCATGAGGATCTTGTGGACGAGCTGGAGCGCGGCCTCGACGCCGTCGCAGCCGCCCGTCTTGGGGGGGGGCGTGGGGAACCCAAAGTCGATGGTGATGTAGTCCTCGCCGCAGGTGACCTCGACCATGATTAAGCGGTCGACGCAGAAGAGCTCGACCTGCTCGCGGCTCCAGGGCTCGAAGGCGCCGCCCTCCTGGACCGCGCGCGCGCCGAGCGCCGCGGACCCGAGCTTGGCCTCGCCCGCGCGGCCGCCGGCGCACGTCAGCCGCAACGCGCCGCGCTGCGCCTCGTGGGGCAGCGCCTTGACCATGACCCGCGCGCCGTTGGCGAGCTTGGAGACGCGCACGCCCAGGTTCTTCGCCGCCTCGGCGTCGTAGGGGTCGAGGTCCCCGAAGTCGACGGGGACCAACGGGTCGGGCAGCAGGTCCGCGACGTCGCCGCGGCCCATGAGCTCCGCGGGGATCTCGAGCTCCGGCTCGGGCTCGAGCTCCTCGGCGGCTGCTTTCGCGGCGACGGCGAGGAGGCGGTCCGTGTCGATGACCACGGGCGTGCCGTCGCTCAGCGTCGCCGGCGCGCACGCGATCATCGCCGACGGCGACGGCGCGGCCGCGTCCCCAAAGTCGACGACGTGGGGCATGAGGAGCTGCGCCTCCGCGTTCACCTCTTCTAAAGTGAGGGACTCCACGGCGATCAACGTCGCCTCGTGGGCCGCCGCGGGGTCCATGAACGTGTGCGCGCACGACACCGTCTCCATCAAGTGCGTGAGCTGGTCGCCGTGCGCGAGCTGGTCGCCCATGGCCGCGAGCTGCTCCGAGTCCGTCACCAGCGACGCGCCGAATCTTTCCAGCTCGCCCTGAGTCAGGCCGTACTGGCCCATGCGCTTCGTCTCGCGCACCGCGGCCGCGACCGCGTCCTCCCACCGCGCGGCGTCGCCGTTCATGTCGAGCGAGCACACGGCGCACGCCTCGCGCGCGCTGTCGAGGTACTGGAACTCGACGAAGGAGAACAAAGGCTCCGTCCGCGCCATGACGTTGAGGCGCACCTGCAGCGCGCTGAGCACGATGCGCCGCGCGGTCATGAGCCGGTGCGCTTCCAACGTCGTGATCGCCTCGACGGGCCTTTTGGCGAAGAGGTGGAAGCTGAACTGCTGGAGCAGCTCGTGCTGGAAGACGTGGGCCCGCACGGGCTCCTGCGTGTCCGGGTGGGGCGTCGGCGGCACGTCCAATGGTAGTAAATACTTGGCCTCGTCGAGCTCCAAGAGCCGGTCCTCGCCCTCCCCTCTAATCACGACGTCGGCCTTGCCGTCGAGGCGCCCGCCGGACCACGTGTGGACGATGGGCGGGAAGTGGCGCGACTGGGCCTTCAAGGACCGGGGCGTCGCCCGCGCGTCCCGGGGCTTGGGCACGCCCGCGAACGCCTTGGCGATCGCGGCCTCGACCTCCGGCGGTCGCACGTCGCCGACGACGTAGAGGAGGCAGTTGTCGGGCCGGTAGTGCTCGCGGTGGTAGGCCATGACGTCCTCCGTCGTCCAGGCCTTGATCTGGTCCTCGAGGCCGATGGGGAAGCGCCGCGCGAGCGAGTTCTCCGCGTGCAGCGTCCGCAGGATCTGGCACTCGACCTGGGCAGCACAAGAGTGATTCAACGTCGCTCCAACGTGAGTGTTCCGCGCGCGCGCGCGTTCCGGAAAAAGCATCCACGCTTCGAGAGCGTTCCGAGAGATGATCGCTCGTCCAAAAATCAGCCGAAACGAGTGGAAAACGGCCGAGAAAGGAGCCTTTGAAGTTGGGAATTTCGCTCTCTTGTCCTGCCCCGCACTCGACCCGGTACTCGATCGTGTTGACCATGGACATCTCGCTGAGCACGGCGGCCCGCTCCTTCTCGACGCGCGCCGGCGCGAACTGGGCCTGGAGCACCTCGCACAGCGCGTCGAGCGCGCGCGGCAGCATCGACGCGCCGCCGCGGTTCCCGAGCAGCCCGCCGAGGCCGCCGTCGCCGCCGCCGGGCGCCTCGCGCGGGCAGCACGCGTAGAAGACCGTGTGGTGGAAGTCCGTGTAGGCGTTGGTCTGCGACCCCGTGCCGAAGAGGCGCTCGCGCTTCCTAGAGCCCATGTACGCGACGTGCTCGACCAGGTGCGCCATGCCCTGCTGGTCGTCGTTCTCGTCCGCCGAGCCCGCGAAGACCTCGAGGTGCGCCTCGAAGCGGCCCGCGGGCGACGCGTTCGGCAGGATCACGTACTCGAGGCCGTTGGGGAGCCGCCCGCGCACGAACTCGGGGTGCGACGGGAGGAGCGTCTGCGCCTGCGGCTCGGCGGCGAGCACGGCGACGGGGGTCAGGCGCGGCGACGCGCGCCGGAGCGTTGGTTGTTTGAAGGTCGCGTGCCGAGGCACGTACGCCGCGGCCGCCGCCGCGAGGGCGACGTACAACCACCGCATCGTGCCGAGAGCGCGTGCCACAACAAGCTTCGCCTGCAACCTCGGGCCGCCAGCTGAGGCCGCCGAGCACCGTCGAGGAAAGATGTGTTCAAGGTTGGCCTCGAGGACCGCGCGGCGCGCGCGCACGGGCGCGTTCAGCCGGCTGCGGACGTCTGGCGAGGCTCCACAACCGCGGCACACGCTCCGCCAGCGCCGCGAAGACGGCCGTGCCGAGCTGGAGCCGCGCTCGCGACGTAGTTGGGCTTGCCGAGGTGCTTCTCGATGGCGGCCTCGCGGACGCGGCCCGCGACCTGGCGCAAAAGCGTCGCGCACGCGAGCGCACTCGCGGTGCACGCGACGCCGCCCACGCAGATCCACAGCGTCAGGAAGGGGTTTAGCCCGATCCGGCGCGGCGGCGCGGCCATTGGCCTTGGCCTTCTTGCAACGCGATGGTGGATGAGCGGGTGTTAGCCGACTACGACCGGAACTTCCAGGGCAGCGCGCTCGCGGCGAGCAGCAGCCTCAACTACCGCCTCAACAAGAACCACGACGAGGCCATGTCCTCCAAGGCCGGCGGCGAACGAGCCAGCGCGGAAATGCCCACTGGCAAGCTTACCACTCAGAACATCAAGAGACCGGTCCCGCAGCGAGAAGGCGCTCGTGTCGAGGCTTCTGAGAGTTCCCGACAAAGGGTCAAGGCGTGTATGGGCCGTGAATGAAAACCATACCGGCGCAGGCCTCGGCGCCCATCGCAAAAACACGTCAAACTGCAACCATATCCTCCACGGCCGAAGTTGGCGAGCGGCGGCCAAAAATACCACTCACAGGGTGATCGCGTGTGGTGGACCGACGCGCGGTTTGCCACAGGGAGCCGCGCCGCGCCGCCGCCGCCCCGGGCGCGCCGGGCCTCGTCGGCCGTCATGGGGACGCGCGCCCCGGCGAGCGCGCCGCACCTCTTCAAGTACATCATCATCGGCGACACGGAGGTCGGGAAGTCGTCCATCATGCTCATGTTCACGGAGCAGCACTTCCAGCAGGCCCACGACATGACCATCGGCGTCGAGTTCGACTCGCGGTCCGTCCAGCTCAGCGACGGCAACCAGGCGAACCTCGAGATCTGGGACACCGCGGGCCAGGAGAGCTACCTGTCGATCACGCGGTCGTACTACCGGGGCACGGACTGCTGCCTGCTCGTCTACGACGTGACGCGGCGCGAGTCCTTCGACCACCTGCCCCGCTGGCTCAACGAGGCGAAGCAGAACGCGTCGAACCCGAACCTGGTCCTCATGCTCGTGGGCAACAAGGCGGATTTGGAGGGTTCCCGCCAGATCTCGCGCGCCGAGGGCAAGGCCTTCGCGGACCTCCACGGCATGCTGTTCGTGGAGCTCACGGCCAAGAACCAGAACCTCGTCGAAAGTGTGTTCGTCGAGAGCGCCCAGCGCGTCCTCGCGGTGCAGCGCGCGAACCCGCGCGCGAAATCCGCCGCCGTGAAGTTGCAGCCGGAGTCGCGGGCGAAGAAGGACGACTTCGACTGCGGCTGCGGCTAGGCGGCCGCGGTGTCCCGCCGGCGTCGCTCCCGAGCGCGACCGCCGGCCCCCGTCGATCCCACTCGGGCGCTCTCCCCCCCCTTCCTCCCCCGGCGCCGCCTCCCTTTTACAACGAACCTAGACATCTAACGCGGCCGTGGACGCGCGGGCCCTCGCGTCGTCGTCGATGATGGGCGGCGCGGGGAGCTCGAGGTCGAAGGCGCCGACGTGGCGGTACTCGGGCCGCCGCGCCTCGTTCGGCAGCAGCGCGCCCTTGCGCTCCTTGTCGACGAGCTCCGCGAGCTTGCGCCGCGCGTTGGCGCGCCAGGCGGCCTTGTCGCCGCGGGGGTCGTTGTCGAAGGCGACGTCCTTGACGGCCGCGTAGACCGCGCGGAGCTCGAGGATGTCGAGGCCGTTGACGTTGTAGCCTACAAAAAAACTAAATCGGGTCTTGCGGAGAAAGCCAGAAACGCCGGCCCCGTGCGGTTCTTGAGGTCCGCGGGGTGGACGCGCTTGAGGCGGTCCGGGGGCTGCCAGACGAGCCAGAGCGCCGCGGTGGCCCACGCTCGCTTCGCGAGCGCCGCCGCCGCGACGGTCTCGCCGATGGACCGCTCGTAGCGCGCGCGCACGGCCGTCGCCGTCGACGAGTTGATGTCCCGGGGCAGGAGCTTGCGCATCGTTGCGAGCGCCGCGGCGTTCTTCGCGTGCTCGCGGCCTACGAAGGAATCGCGAGGTCGAAAAGAGAGAACGCGCGGAAAGGAAACGCGCCGTCCCAGATGGCCTCGCGCTCCTCGAGGCGCAGCGCGTGGTCCGGGTGCTGCTTGATGGCGGCGTCGAGGGCGTCGAGCTTGCCCTCGACGGAGCCGTCGCCGGAGAGGAGCTCGCCCGCGGCCGCGCGGAGGTCGCGCTCGAGCTCGTTGAGGCTCGTCGGCCGCTTCGCGGTCTCCGCGAAGGCCCGCGTCGACGCCGTCGCGTCGCGCAGCGCGCTCCGCAGGTCGCCGAGGGCCGCCTCGAGGTCCGCGTAGGTCGCCAGGGGGTCGCCGCCCTTGCGGCCGGCCGACGACGCGTCGGGCGCCGCGCACCGCGCGGCCTCGGCGCGCACCGCGGCGCAGCGGGTCGCGACGTCGGCGACGCGCCGCTCCGCGAGGGCGAGGCGCACGCTGTCGCGGCTCTCGCGCGGCGCCGCGTCGCGCTTCTTCGGGCGCGGCGACCGCCGGAACGCGGGCGGCGGCGGCGACGGCGAGAGCGCGGGCGCCGGCGGCGGCGACGGCGGCCGCGGCGACGGCGGGGGCGTGCGCTCGCCGTCAGCCTCCGGCGCGAGGGCCGCCCACGCCGCGTCGTCGGCGTCCCAGTCGTCGTCGGCGTCCTCCCAGCCCGCGGCCGCCGCGGCGTCGTCCTCGTCGCAGGCCGCGTCGAAGAACTCGTCGTCGTCGGCCGTCGCCGGCGCCTCGAAGAAGGCGCGGTCCTCGTCCTTCGTCGTCGGCCCGAAGAAGGCCGCGTCGTCGTCGTCGACGTCGCTGAGGGACAGGGGCACCCCAATCTCCTCCATGCCCGCTTCCATCGTGTTGAATGGACCGGCGCCGATGTTGGACTAGTTATTGAAGGGGATGCGCGCCGAGATGTTGAAGAGAAGTAACGCTGGAATGGGGCTGCTGTGAGAGCATATTCGACACTACGATGGGCCCGCTGCGCGCGTGCTCGCGCATGCCCGAGTCGGCGTCGAGCCCCATGTACGCCCCGCCGGCGACGCCCGGCCAGACGACGCTGGCCAGCAGCTGGTGGTACGCCGACGCCAAAGAGCAATTGGTGATGATGGACTCGACGCCCGTCTGGAAGGCGGACTTCGGCAAGTCCATGACGACGACCCAGGCCTGCTACCGCATCGCGACGTGCCCGGCCAAGGCGCAGCGGCCGAAGCTGCGGCCCATGCTGCGCGCGCCGCCGCGGCCGCGGCCCGCGCCGCCGCCGCCCGCGCCGCCGCCGGCCTCGGGCCCCGCGGCCGACGCGGCCGCGGCGGCGGCGGCGTCGGCGCGCGCCGCGGGGGGCTGCGTCAAGGCCGCGGACCTCGCGGCCCTCGCGGACCTCGACGCGCCGAGCGAGGCGCTGGCGATGGTCGGCGCGTCGCTGCTCTGCCTCGTCGACGACGACATCCCGTCGGACGCGCGCTGGCCGACCTACGTCGCCCGCGTCGACGCCGACGCGTCGACGCTGCGCGAGGCCATGCTCGCCTTCGACCCGGCGGCCTGCCCGGCCTTCAAGCGCGCAGCGATCCGAACGTTCCTCGCAGGGCAGCAAAAGGGTGATTCAACGTCGCTTCAACGTGATTGTTCCGCGCGCGCGCGTTTCGGAAACAGCACCCACGCTTCGAGAGCGCTCCGAGAGATGATCGCTCGTCCAAAAATCAGCCGAAACGAGCGGAAAACGACCGAGATAGGAGCCTTTGAAGTTGGGAATTTCGCACCCTTTTGCTGCCCAGGTTCCTCGATTCCGCGGCGGACGACCTCCACTGGAAGGCGCTTCCCGCGAGAGCCGCGGGGCCCTGCAAGAAGGTCGACGGCTGGGTGCGCGCGGCGCTGGCCGCCGCCGACGCCGCCGCGGCGGCGGAGGACGCGCGCGACGGCGACGGCACGGGCCGATCGCGCGCCGAGGGCGCGGCCGCGGCCGCGGCGGCGGGCGCGCGGCGCGCGCGCGGCCGCATCGCGCGGCGCAAGAAGGCCCAGGCGGCGGCGGAGCCGCCGCGCGAGGAGATCGTCGTCTCCGTGATCCGCGAGGACCTGGGGCCGGACCCGACGAATCCCAACGGCCCGAACTCGCCGTGGCTGATCACGGTCATCTCCCGCAAGGGCCGCGGCGGCGGCGGCTTCGTCGCCAAGGCCTACCACCCGGCGACGTCCTTCGAGTGCGCCGTGAAGGTGCCCGACATCGAGGCCCGCCAGACGCCCCTGCCGCCGCTCCAGTGGGCCGCGGAGGTCCTCCCGTCGACGCTCGAGATGTACGTCATCGCCGAGCAGCCGCGGCTCCGGCTCGGCGCCAAGCTCGGGCCCACGCCCGCGAAGCGCCGGTCCTCCGTCTTCTCCATGATCGACAGCTACAATAAGGAGTGATGGGGAAAATCGAGCTTCAACAATCCACCTGTGAGAGCATGGCTCTGTTCAAGGCGCTCGCGCTGCTCGGCGCCATCGCGTCTGCCCTGCGACATACGACGCCGTCGCCGTCGCGCCCCGCGCGACATACGACGCCGTCGCCGTCGCGCCCCGCGACGCCGTCGCGCCCTGCGACGCCGTCGCGCCCTGCGACGCCGTCGCGCCCCTGCGACGCCGTCGCGCCCCTCGACGCCGTCGCGCCGCGCATGGCTCCACACCGCGACGTTAGCAACGCCCGCGGCGGTGCTCGCGCCGCGGCGCGCGCGGGCCAGCACCATCGAGGACACGCGGGCGCGCGCGCTGCGCTACGAGGCCTTCGCGGAGTCGCTCAAGAAGGGCGACGCGGGCCGCAAGGACGTGGGCACCGTGTACAAGGAGATGGTCGACTTCCAGAAGGAGATCGCGGCGGTGTGCCCGACGCGCGAGGCGACCGACGGCGCGAAGGTCCTCTCGAAGCGCCTGCTGGAGCTCTACAAGATCGTCGTCGACGGCGGCGAGACGCTGGACGGCGCCAAGGCCGGCGCCAAGGTCGCCGAGGTCGCCTTCACCGTCGAGTACCTCGCGGACAGCCTCGAGGCCGCGCGGAAGTCGGGCATCTTCCTCGACGACGTCGTCATCGGGAAGATGCGGTCCGACTGGGAGCCCGGGCCCGGCTACGACTACGTCAAGGCGCGGACCTACTCGCCGTCGTCTAATTAGCGCCGACAGCCGCGTACAGCGGCGGGGAACGGGCGCACCGAGCTACTTAGGCCGCCACGTGATGAGCACGTTCCCCCCCGCCGTCGGCGGGCACTCGTCGGCGACGGCGACGGTCGCGCCGGGCCGCGCGGCGGCGATCCGGTCCGCGAACTCGCCGCTCGGCATCGCGTCCGCGTGGATGCCGTGGTTCCAGGTCACGTAGCCGAAGGGCGCCGCCTCGGCGAGGGCGTAGTACTCCGCGGCGACGTCGCGCGGCAGCTCCGAGAGCGCGTAGTTGGACACGAAGAGGTCCGTCGCCTCGTCTTCCGCGCCCGTGGCGAACCGCGCCGCCGCGGCCGCGGGGAGCGTCGCGTCGATATATTTCGCCGCGAGGCGCTCCGCGCAGTCGAGGTCGCGCACGCGCCAGGCCGCCGGCGCGTCGTCCGCCGCCAGCGCGAGCTGCGCCTGGCCGCCGTAGCCGCCGCCTATCTCCAAAACCCGGAGCCCGGCGAGCGCGCCGCCGACGAGCGCGCGCAGGTCGCCCAGCGTCTTCAGGTAGCGCAGCTGCGTCGGCGACACGGCGCCGTCGAAGCCGTCGTAGGACGCGAGCACCGGCGGCGCGCCGACGCGCGCGGCCGCGGCGACGGCCGCCGCGACCGGCGCCTCCCCGAGCAGGTCCGCGTACGCCTCGCGCACGAAGTGGGCGTACATCCGGCCCTGGTCCTCCGACAGGTGCTCCAAAATGTCGCGGTAGGCCGGCGCGGACTTGAACGTCGCGAAGGCGGCGTCGTCGGCGACGCAGCGGTCGCAGTGGCGTCGATAGTCGGCGTAGCGGTCCGCGAGCGTCGCCGCGTTGTCGTAGAGGAAGGGCTGCTGGGTTGGCGTCCTTTTTGTGGTGGAGAGGGCGTTGGCTGTTGTGATGAGGACCAGAGCTTGCATGCTGGCGACGGCGCGACGCTTGAAGGTGCGCCATTGCTGAGTTCTCCTTCACCTTCAGCCTGATGCGCAGCTCGCTCGGCGGCGCGGCCGCGCGCGCAGCCGTCCGAGGATGCGCTGCGTCCTTCTGTGCTGCGCGCAGAGGTTCGCACTATCGGCCGACGCGCCCGCGCGCGTCCGACTGCGGCTAGTTTTGCGATTAGGAGGGAGAGAGCAGGCTCCCGACTCCGAGTCGCCGGCCTCGGCCGGGCGGGCCGCGGCGGCCGCGGCGCCGGCCCCGGGACTACACTGGTTGGGGTTGATGCTCGTGGCGTGCTTGAACTGGACGCCGTCGGCGCCCGCGCCGTAGAGCATGTGCTCCACGTACTCGGAGCGCGCTGGCATCCGTAACCAGGCTGCGCGCGTTGGGGGTGTATAGATTAATCTCCTAAGATTTGGACATTGAGGACGACGACAAGGTGCGATTTTTTTCGCAGTTTTGCGTCCACATCACCAAGGTGCGAACCCCGAACCCGAACCCGAACGTCGATCGTCGAACGTCGAACGTCGAACGTCGAACGTCGAACGTCGAACGTCGAACGTCTACGCGCGGAAGCGCCGCCGCACGCCGGCCGGCGATTCCTCACGCCCGCTCCCGCGGCACACGCGGACCGCTGCAGGTCGCGCGCGGCGGGCGGGCAGGGGTCGGAGCGCGTCGAGCGCGCGCGTGCAACGTTCGGGCGTGAACTTCACAAAGCCCGAGGAGCAGCTCTCGACAAGCGATGATCCAGGCTTAGAGTTTGTTCGCGTCCCAGCAAGACGATGAGCGCCATGGTCGAGCAACCGCCGAAAAAGCAGCAGAAGACCATGCCGTCGAGCGTCGTCATCCAGCTCCAGAGCACGGCCGGCGACCCGCTCGGCGCGGCCATGGAGGTGCCCATGTCGAGCTCCCCGGCGGAGCTGGAGAAGCTCGTGCACGCTTTGAAGAAGGCCGAGGGCCAGGACGGCCCGTCGACGCCCTACGCCTTCTACGCCGACGGCCAGACCGCCGTCGCCGGCACGCTCGGCGAGTACGCGGAGCAGACGCCGGGCTTCTCGGGCGAGACCGCGCTCGCGGTCACGTACGAGCCGCTGAGCGTCTTCCGCGTGCGCCGCGTGAGCCGCTGCGCGGAGACGCTGCCGGGCCACAGCGACGCCGTGCTCCACGTGGGCTTCGCGCCCGACGGCAAGTCGCTCGCGTCCGGCGGCGGCGACGCGACGGTGCGCCTCTGGGACGCGCTGTCCAAGACCCCCCGCGCGACGTGCGGCGGCCACCGCCACCACGTCCTCTGCCTGGCCTGGGCGCCCGACGCGTCCAAGGTCGCGTCCGGCGACCGCAGCGGCGAGGTGCGCGTCTGGGACCCGAAGACGGGCGCGAGCCTCAAGACGCTGAAAAAGCATTCCAAGTGGATCACGGCGCTGGCGTGGAGCCCCGCGCACCTGCCCCAGCCCGCCAGCGCCGAGGCCTGCGAGGTGCTCGCGTCCACGTCCAAGGACGCGTCGGTGAAGATCTGGAACACGCGGACCGGGTCCATGATCGCGTCGCTGACGGGCCACACGGATTCCGTGGAGGCCTGTGCCGAAACCAAATCTTCAACCCGACTTCAATGTGAGCGTATTCGAATGTTTTGACACGAGCTCTTCGGCTGGGCTTCGAGAACTCGACGAGAGCGATCGATTCGTCCAAAAATCAGCCGAATCGACTTTGATTTGACCGAGCTAGAGAATTCTCAAGTTTGGCCCCGACGTCCCAGCTCACTGGTTGATTTGCACACAGGTGGAGGCGCTCGCGTGGGCCGGCGACGGCGCGCTCTACAGCGCGTCCCGGGACCGCACCGTCAAGGTCTGGCGCTGCCGCGAGGACGGGAAATGGGGGTCCCTGGCGCTGGACGCGACGCTCCAGGGCCACGGCCACCGCGTGAACGCCCTAGCGCTCGCGTCGGCGTTCGTGTGCCGCACGGGCCCGTTCGACCACAAGTCGGGCAGGGAGGCCTTCAAGGCGACGTCGCTGGCGGCCGTGGAGGCGGCGGCGCGGGCGAAGTACGACGCCTTCGTCGACGCGAACGGCGGGCCGGCGAACGCGGAGCGCCTCGTGTCCGGCTCCGACGACGCGACGCTCCTGTTTTGGACGTCGCTCAAGGCCGACGCGTCGAACAAGAAGCGGACGCCCAAGGCGCGCCTGACGGGCCACCAGCAGCCCGTGAACGCGATCCAGTTCGCGCCGGACGCGCGCAAGTTCGCGTCGGCGTCCTTCGACAAGAAGGTCAAGCTCTGGCACGGCCGCACGGGCGCGTTCCTCGCGACGTTCACGGGCCACGTCGGCGCGGTCTACGCGCTGGCCTTCTCGCCGGACTCGCGGCTGCTCGTGTCCGCGTCCAAGGACTCGACGCTCAAGGTCTGGAACGTCGCCGACGACGCCGTGCCCGCGTCCGAGGCGAAGCACAAGGTCTCGTCGACGCGCAAGTTCGCCGCGGCGCTGGAGACGCTCCCGGGCCACTACGACGAGGTCTTCGCCGTCGACTGGGCGCCCAACGGCGCGTCCGCCGCGTCCGGGTCCAAGGACCGCACGATCAAGATGTGGGCCTCCTAATACTTACCGAAGTCGCTCACGTGGCTCGGCTCGATCTCGACGCGGCCGCCCCCCCCGGGGCTCTCGTAGCGCCGGAAGGGCCGGTCGGGCCAGGAGGGGAAGATGTCGAGGTCCGTCTCCCGCACGCCGCCGTCGGCCGCGGCCACCGCGTCGTCGTGGTCGGGGATGAGGAGCCGCTTCGCGCGCTCCGGCGTGGACCAGCCCGCGGACGTCGCCCACGACGGCGCGGGCGACTTGGACCGCGCCTTCGCCGGCGACGGCGACCGCCGCCGCCGCGCGGCGCCGTCGTCGAAGGACACGCGCTTCCGCCGCTCGCGCTTCGGGAAGGGCAGCTCGCAGCAGGGCGCCGCCGCGTCGCCCGAGGCCTTGTCGCAGAGCTCGCCGTCGTCCGCGACGACCGTGGGCGCGCCGGCCGCCGGGCGGCTCCGCGCCGCGCGCGGCGGCTTGCCGTGGAAGACGCGGTAGCAGTCCTCGAGGAGCGGCAGGAGAGCGCGCCAGTCGCCGACCTGGACGGCGACCTCCGTCCGCGGGTCGGGGTGGCGCCAGCCGAGGGGCACGTCCCAGTCCCGCAGGCAGCTCAGCGCCTTGCGCGCGTTCGCCTCCCGCAGCGACCGCGTCGTCGGCCGGCGGCAGCGGCCGTGGAGCACGCGCATGCCCGTGAGCCGCTCCGCGAGCGCGCAGAGCAGCGTGCCGTCGGCGAGTTTGGCCGCGAGGCCGTAGAGGTCGCCGCCGTCCGCCGGCGCGACGCCCAGGTCGTCGAGCCAGCCCCGCAGGGACGCGCATAGACGTGCTCGGTCGTCGTCGCCGTAGGGGAGCCGCCAGGGCCGCCGGAACGACCTGGCGGCGACGGCGGCCTTCCCCGGGCTCGGCGGCGGCGACGGCTTCGGCCGGTCCCGCATGGGCGACCCCCAGACCCGCCGCGGCGACGGCGGCCGCGGCGGCGCCGGCGCCGGCGCCTCCTCGGCCATGCGGGGCGCCAGATCGAAGGACGCGCCGACCTCCTCGACCTCGCGCGGCCCCCGCGGCGGGCCCTCGTCGCTCGCGAGGCAGCAGAGCAGCGTCCAGACGCGGTTCCCGCCCAGGACGTACTTGGACGCGCGCCCGAGGAGCGCCCCGTCGACGCCCGTGTGCTCCCGCAGGCTCCGCAGGGCGGCCCGCGTCCGCGCCTTCGCGCTACGTACGGAGCTCGGCCGCCGGCCCGTGACCGCGCGCGCCAGCACCGCGTAGTCCGGCCGCCGCTTCGCCGCGTCGGACCCGCCGGGGGCCAGGGCCAGCGCGACGTCGCAGATCAGGGCCCCGTTGACCAGCGGATTCTTCAGGATGGGCCCGCCGTCGGAGTCGTCGCGGGCGCTCAGGCCGGAGAACCCGAGCCCCGCGAGCCAGCCGCGCGCCTCGAGCGTCGCGGCGCGGTCCGGCGGCTCCAGAGCGGCCCCGGGCGCGTCGTCGTCGGACTCGGACTCGGCCTCGCAGTCGCTCTCGGCCTCGGGGTCCCCGACGAACGCGCGGCGCCGTTCGCGGTCCTCGCGGAGGTGCGCGGCGGCCTTGGCGTAGACGACGCTCCGCGGCGCGGCCTCGCGCACGGCGGCCTTCTTCGACGCCTTGCGCTTCGCCTCGGGGTCCTCCCAGCGCCGGATGCGGTCGACGGCGGCTTTTCGCGCGGCCGCGTCCGCGCGGTCCCGGAAGCCCTCCCGCGGCGGCGCCTCGGGCTCGGGGCTCCGCGGCTTCCGCGGGCTCGACCGGTGAGGCCGCCGGGGCGACGACTTCCGGAGGAAGGGCCGCCGCGGCGCCTCCGTCAGGGACGACACGGCCGACGCGTCGTCGCCGGTCCGCCGCGCCTCGGCGCTGCGGCCGTCGACGGCGTCCGTCGACGCGCGGCGCGACCGGCCCGCGACGGGCGCGGCGCGCGGCGCCGGCCGCCGCGCGGGCGACGCGCGCCGCGGCGACGCGGGCTTCGGCGGCTTCTTCTTCGGCGACGGCGACCGCCGCGCCCTCCGCGGCGACCGCTTCTTCTTGCGCTTCGGCGACGGCTTGCGCGCCGGCGGCGCCGGCGCCGGCGGCGGGCTCGGCGGCGGCGCCTCCATTTCTTCCGCGACCTCGAGGAGCGGCGGCGGCCGCGGCGGGTCGAGCTTCGCCCAGGCGTCGATGGGGTGCGGGTGCTTCTCCTCCTCGGTGAGGCACCGCTTGTTCCGCGGCACGTGCAGCGCCGCCGCGACGACGCCAAACACGCGCCGCAGGGCCTCCGGGTCGCCGCGGGCCACGGCCGACGCGGGCACGCACGCGCGGATCCGCGCGGCGGCCGCGAGCCGCGGCGACGGCCGGAGCGCGTCGAGCGCGCGGCGCACGTTCGCGACGGCGGCGCCCATGGTGCCGCTGGACCGGTCCGTGCCGAGCAGCTCGAAGCGCTTCGTGCGGCCGACACAGGCCGCGCCCTCGACGGGCCGCACGGCCGCGCGCGCGGCCGGCGTGCCGTCCGCCTGGAGCACCAGCGCGACGAGCTCGACGACGGCGAGGCAGCGGCGGCTCCGCGACTCGGCGTCGGCGCGGCGGACCTCGGAGAGCACGGCCTGGGCCACGCGCGCGTAGTAGCGCCCCGCGACGCGCGCGAGGTCGCGCAGCAGGGGCCGGTCGCGCGCCTCGAGCTCCACGAGCGCCGCCGTCGCCGCGACCTCGCAGGACGGGCGCCGCCAGGACTCGTCGGGCGTCGCCGTCGGCGGCCGCGCCCGCGGCGGGCTCGGGTCCTGGGCCGGGTTCAGGTAGCTCGACAGCGCGTCGGACCCCGGCGACGCGAGGTCGCGCGGCGACGGCGGCGACGCGCGCGGCGCGCGCGGCGAGCCCGCGGCCGGCGAGCCCGCGGGCGACGACAGCGGCGACGCGCCGCCGCCGACGGCGCCGACGGCCGTGAGCGCGGCCAGGAGCGCGCCGCGGGCGCGCGCGTCGCCGACGTCGAGGCCCTCCCTGACGAACGCCGGCAGCAGGCCCGGCGCGCGCGCCTCGAGCGCCGCGGCGACGCGGCGCGCCGCGGCCGGGTCGCCGAGCGCGCGCGCGGCGGCGGACCGCGCCGACGCGTCGAGCGCCGCGACCTCGCCGTCGGCCTCCGGCGACGCCGCGAGGTCCGGCGCCGGCGGCGCGGGCGCGTCGTCGGAGGCCTCGGCGAGGGACACGGCCGACGGCGCGTGGAGCGCCTCGGACGCCACGGACGCGACCTCGCAGTGGTCGAAGGCCTCCTGGAAGCCGCCGTAGCCGCCGAGGCTCAACGGCGACGCCGGCGGGCCATAGCCTTCGATGGGGGCAGCCATCGAGGCTCGGCTGCCCTAACCGCGTGTGCACGACCGCGGCACGGTGCAGATACGCTGGCGCTACCGTAGTGCCGCGCGATGGGCGCCGCGCGCGGGCAGCCCCGGAGGCGGCGGCGCGGGCGGGTCGCCTCCTAGGACCGGCGCCATGGACACGGACAGCGTCGTCGGGCGGCTCCGCGCCGTAGCCCTCCCGAGCGACGGCGGGGCCTGGGGCCCGCTGCCGACGAAGGAGGCGCTCCTCCTCCACCGGCAGCCCGGCGCCGGCGGCGGCGCGCGGCGGCGGCAGAACCGGAGGAAGCGGCGGCCCGGCCCCTACCTCGCGCCCCTCGACGCGGCGCGGAAGCCGTCGAAGCCCGGCGCGGCCGGCGGCGTCGTGCTGCGGCCGCCGCGGCTCCGCGCGCTCGACGGCGACGCCGCGCCGCTCGACCACGCGCCGGCGCCGCGCCGCGGGCGCCGGCGGCGGCGGTCGCCGGGCCGGAGCCGGACGCCCGACGCGTCGCCGTCGCCGCCGCGCTTCGCCGGCGCGACGTACCCGGCCGCGGCGTCCGCGGCGAGCCGCGCCGTCGACGCCGCGCTTTTCATGGCCAACGTGCCCGCCGTCGCCTGGCCGCCGAGCGGCACGGAGCGGTCCGTCTACCTCGAGCAGCTCACGTCCGTGGAGCAGGTGCGCGACAGCCTGCCGCTGAGCTTCCTCATCGCCACGGGCCAGCACAAGGAGGTGCTGCGGCGGCGGCTCAGCCACGTCTTGCGCATCTTCGACCGGCGGCGCAGGCGGGACTTCCGCCTGGCCTTCGCGCGCTGGCTCGCCCTCGTGCGCTTCCTCCAGTCCCAGGAGTTCGTGCGGCGCACGCTGCAGAAGGCCCGGGACGACGCGTGCCACAAGATCCGCGCGCTCCTCGAGGCGTTCGTGGCGCGGGCGCTCGCGCGGCGCGTGCGCGTCTGGCGGCGCAACGCGCGCCTCATCGCCCGCGCGGAGCGCAAGCGGCTCCTCAACGACATGGCGCGGCGGCTCCAGCGCTGGTTCCGCTGGATGCACCGGAAGGCCAAGGGCCGGAAGATGCTCGCGGCGCTCCGGAAGCGGCGCGCGCGCGCGGACGCGGCCGCCAAGGCCATCTGCGAGGCCGAGGCGCTGCACCAGGTCATGGCCGCGGCGCTCCGGCGGAGCCGGCGGCTCGCGGAAATCGAGTTCGACGCCGCGACGGCCGTCCAGCGGTGCTGGCACGCGCGGCTCATGCGGTTGGAATTGGCGCGGCGCATCGCGGCCGCGAAAGAAAAGAAGGAGACGGAGTCGGGCCTCGTGCTCGCGCGCTTCTGGATGATGCTCAAGCGGGACCAGAGCAAGAGCCAGCGCATGGGGAGCCGCCTGGCCATGTGGCGCGAGCGGAAGATGGCCGCGAAGAAGCCCAAGAAGAAGAAGAAGGAGGCCGCCGAGGCCGCGAAAGCGAAAAAGGCGGAGATGATGCGCCAGCTCGAGGAGCGCAAGCGCCGCGCCCAGGCCCTCAAGAACGCCGGCGAGCAGGGCACGTCGAAGAACCTCGACCAGTCCGACGTCATGTCCAAGGCCGCGGCGTCGATGCGCGCGACCTCCAAAGAGGGCAAGCGCGACGCGACGCTCGAGGGCGCCGAGGACGAGTTCGCCGCCGCGGCCGCCGCCGCCGGCGGGCGCCTCGCCCAGGCCGCCGAGGCCGCCGAGGAGGAGGAGATCCGGCGCCTCGAGGAGATGCTCGCGCACGAGGA